CCTCTGTCGTGTCGAAACATCACACCAGAAGCGAAGCGAGTCATATCGAGGCACGAGCGAGTCAACCCTCTTAGGTTGAAAGAGGTTGCTGGAGGTTACGCGAAAGTCAAAGGTCAGCGACCTTTGACCTGACAAGTACAGCGCGACAGTTAAGGACACACAACTGACTCGTTACAGAGCAGTTGCCCGAGTCGTACTGTATCGAACCGCAACAGCAAATTAGTCACAACCGTATCCTTTCGTATTCCTTGTACTACTATATATTCTTGTATCTCTTTGCTATAATCAACTTACTTTGCTCTCACACACTAGTGCAAGGTGGTTCACAAGTCTTCATTAAACGCTTCCGCTATTACAATTGTTCTACCCCGAATTTACCCCTGCAAAGATCCTAAGGGCTTTTTGTCAGAATGTTATTTGTCTAGCCTGCAGTGGGGTGCTCAATAGTGAGTACAACCCCTTAGGGTTTGCTATTTGTGTGTCCTGCTGCTTGCTAGTCATCATCATTCTTCATTCCAATTCTCCTTCGTAAACCCTAACTCCTAGTTCTAGAGCGCACCCACCTACCTCCTAGTGTGGGCCTAGGCTACTAAGCCTAGGCCCCACACCTACGATTCTAACATGGTATCTAGAGCCGGCGAGATCCTGCCGCCTAGTTCATCGGGCCCACCAACTCCTTCCGCTGTCGTACTATCCGCCGCGCGCCCCGTGGTGCGCGGCATTGCATTTTCTTCCCGCCACGCGCTCCGAACACGTGGCGGCTTCTTCTGCCCGCCGCGCGCTCGGGGCGCGCGGCGGTTATCCCGTCCGTCGAAGCGTCCTTGGGGGGGCCTGCGCGCTGCCCTCCCTGCTGCTCGTCGCGACGCCCGTGCGGGACCCGCGGGGCGTCGCCCTTACTCGTCGCGGCGCCCCCTGGGTGCTGCCCCTTCTCGTCGCGACGCCCGTACGGGACCCGCGCAGCGTCGCCCTGCTCGTCGCGACGCCCGTGCGGGACCCGCGGGGCGTCGCCCCTGCTCGTCGCGACGCCCGTGCGGGACCCGCGGGGCGTCGCCCCTGCTCGTCGCGACGCCCCCTGCGGGACCCGCGGGGCGCCGTCAGAGCCTGCAGCAGCAGCCGCCGCCAGAGCCTGCAGCAGCAGCCGCCGCTCTACCAGCAGCAGCAGCCGCCGCCGCTCTGCAGCAGCAGCCGCCGCCGCCCTGCAGCAGCAGCCGCCGCCAGGCCTGCAGCAGCAGCCGCCGCCAGAGCCTGCAGCAGCAGCCGCCGCCAGAGTCTGCAGCAGCAGCTGCCACCAGAGCCTGCAGCAGCAGCCGCCGCTCTACCAGCAGCAGCAGCCGCCGCCGCTCTGCAGCAGCAGCCGCCGCCGCCCTGCAGCAGCAGCCGCCGCCAGGCCTGCAGCAGCAGCCGCCGCCAGAGCCTGCAGCAGCAGCCGCCGCCAGAGTCTGCAGCAGCAGCTGCCACCAGAGTCTGCAGCAGCAGCCGCCGCTCTACCAGCAGCAGCAGCCGCCGCCGCCCTGCAGCAGCAGCCGCCGCCAGGCCTGCAGCAGCAGCTGCCGCCACCGAGCCTGCAGCAGCAGCCGCCGCCAGAGCCTGCAGCAGCAGCCGCCGCCAGAGCCTACAGCAGCAGCCGCCGCTCTACCTGCAGCAGTTGCCGCTGCCGAGCCTGCAGCAGCAGCCCCTGGAGCAGCCAGTCACTGCAGCAACCGCCCCTGGAGCAGCCCGCCACTGCAGCAGCCGCCCCTGGAGCAGCCCGCCACTGCAGCAGCCGCCCCTGGAGCCGCCCGCCACTGCAGCAGCAGCCCCTGGAGCAGCCCGCCACTGCAGCAGCCGCCCCTGGAGCAGCCCGCCACTGCAGCAGCCGCCCCTGGAGCCGCCCGCCACTGCAGCAGCCGCCCCTGGAGCAGCCCGCCACTGCAGCAGCCGCCCCTGGAGTTTGCCCGCCTTTGTTCGTACGTCCCCTTGCTACTCGTGTCCGTTCGTGTCTCGTGTTGTGTCCCGTGCCGAGCCATACCGTGCAGTGCCATGCCGTGCCGTACCGTGTCGTGCCGTGCTGTGCTGTGCCGTGCCTGTGTTCGTTTTACCTACCTACCTACCTACCTACGCCCTGTGCCTTGTGCCTTGTGCCTTGTGCTTCGTGCCTCGTGCCTCGTGCCTTGTGCCTCGTGCGCCCTGCTGCTGCCCCGTGCCTTCGTGCGCCCTGCTGCAGCCCGCGCCTTGTGCGCTTTACCTACCTACGCCCTGTGCCTTGTGCCTTGTGCCTTGTGCTTCGTGCCTCGTGCCTTGTGCCTCGTGCCTTGTGCGCTTTACCTACCTACGCCCTGTGCCTTGTGCCTTGTGCCTTGTGCTTCGTGCCTCGTGCCTCGTGCCTTGTGCCTCGTGCGCCCTGCTGCTGCCCGCGCCCTCGTGCGCCCTGCTGCAGCCCGCGCCTTCGTGCGCTACCTACCTACGCCCTGTGCCTTGTGCCTTGTGCCTTGTGCTTCGTGCCTCGTGCCTTGTGCCTCGTGCCTTGTGCGCTTTACCTACCTACGCCCTGTGCCTTGTGCCTTGTGCCTTGTGCTTCGTGCCTCGTGCCTTGTGCCTCGTGCCTTGTGCGCTTTACCTACCTACGCCCTGTGCCTTGTGCCTTGTGCCTTGTGCTTCGTGCCTCGTGCCTTGTGCCTCGTGCCTTGTGCGCTTTACCTACCTACGCCCTGTGCCTTGTGCCTTGTGCCTTGTGCTTCGTGCCTCGTGCCTCGTGCCTTGTGCCTCGTGCGCCCTGCTGCTGCCCGCGCCCTCGTGCGCCCTGCTGCAGCCCGCGCCTTCGTGCGCTACCTACCTACGCCCTGTGCCTTGTGCCTTGTGCCTTGTGCTTCGTGCCTCGTGCCTTGTGCCTCGTGCCTTGTGCGCTTTACCTACCTACGCCCTGTGCCTTGTGCCTTGTGCCTTGTGCTTCGTGCCTCGTGCCTTGTGCGCTTTACCTACCTACGCCCTGTGCCTTGTGCCTTGTGCCTTGTGCCTCGTGCCTCGTGCCTTGTGCCTCGTGCCTTGTGCGCTTTACCTACCTACGCCCTGTGCCTTGTGCCTTGTGCCTTGTGCTTCGTGCCTCGTGCCTTGTGCCTCGTGCCTTGTGCGCTTTACCTACCTACGCCTCGTGCCTTGTGCCTCGTGCGCCCTGCTGCTGCCCGCGCCCTCGTGCGCCCTGCTGCAGCCCGCGCCCTCGTGCGCTCTACTCTGCCCGAGCTCTCGTGCGCCCTGTTCGGTTCCGCCGCCCCTGCCCCCCCCCCCCCCCCCCCCCCGTCCCCTGGACAGGAGAGTGTGTGGGTGACGGGTATGGGGGTGCTCCGTGTGCGTCGTCCCTTCCTCCTCCTTCGTCTCCCACAGCTGCAGCTGCCGCTGAGGGGGGTGGATGTGTGGGAGCCGAGGGGAATGGCGCTAGGGGGGTAATGTGGGAGTGGAGCTAAGGGTGGACCAAGGGGTGTGTGTCGAAGGGTGTGGGACTGTTGGGGGCGGTTGAGCGGAGGCCGCCGTCGTGTCGTCTGCAGCGCCTGTATTCCGGGGGTTCTGATAGCCACCGGTAGCTCAGAGAGCCGGTTGCACCTGTCGCCTGTGGGTCCGTTGCTCCTGCCGCTGCTGATCAGCCGCCGAGCCTGTTACTCCTGTATTCCGGGGCCTCTGGCTCCCGGTAGCCACTAGAGTTGCACTAGTGCCGTCTGTTGCCCGTGTGTCTGCAGCTTCAGCCGTCGCCTCCACTCTTCTCTCCTCTCGCCAGCCCTCCTCCTCCTCACCTACCCTCTGTGACTGCCTCTAGCTTTGCTCATAAATTATAAACTATTGCTTCTTGAACTTGTGCTCAGAATGTGTGGTGACATCGTGATCCACCCTGAGCTTGTACTGCTTTGCTTGCTCTGCTGATTACACCCCACTTTGGCTATGGGGGTGTGTCAGAATGTTATTTGTCTAGCCTGCAGTGGGGTGCTCAATAGTGAGTACAACCCCTTAGGGTTTGCTATTTGTGTGTCCTGCTGCTTGCTAGTCATCATCATTCTTCATTCCAATTCTCCTTCGTAAACCCTAACTCCTAGTTCTAGAGCGCACCCACCTACCTCCTAGTGTGGGCCTAGGCTACTAAGCCTAGGCCCCACATCTACTATTCTAACACTTTTCTCAGCCCAACACCAATTAGGGTGTTCTCCGGAGGCGTGAGCAAAACTCTCGAGGCTCGTTTTGGCTGTGGCAAGTTCACCGTTGGAGTTTAGAAAGATGGACACATCGTCCGCGTAGCAAGCCATGAGCCGTCGTTGAGTTGGTGATATGGCAAAGCCGGGCAATGCCGCCGCAAGATGGCGTTGTAACACTTCTATGACGCATATAAAAAGGAGTGGTGCTAGGGGACAGCCTTGTCGAACTCCAGTTCGAACTGGAAACCGAGGTCCTGTAGCATTATTAAACGAGCCATGGGTAACTGTATGAGAGTGAAGGCGACGGACCCATGCGACGAAGCCGGAAGGAATGCCGAGATGTGTAAGGCACCGAAATATGAATTCTCGATCTACCATATCGTATGCTTTACGTATGTCGACGGTTAGAACTAGTAGTGGAAGCTTCTGTGAGGAGGCCCAGTCCATTATGTCGAGTGAGTCGTTGATAGTGTCGCCGATACGTCGGCCTTTGATGAAAGCAGTTTGAGCATGATGAATGAAGCGGGGAAGGACAGGTTGCAGACGGTTGGCGAGTGTAATAGCGAGGAGTTTATAATCGGTGTTCATAAGTGTGATTGGGCGAAGGTTTTCGACGAGCGCCGCGTAAAGGTTTACCTCGATGCGGGATTTCTCGGTACGGTACTGTTAGAATATATCGTTTCTCTATAACACGTCGACCATCCAACGTCCATTTGAATTTGTTCTTCTACTCGACATCTACATCTGGTATGGCAGTGGAATTTACAGAATCTCCACATGACTCCTATTTAATCTAAATTCCAAGAATTATATTGAATCAATAGCACGACTTATCCCACAGCATTTCTATAGCTTCTTATAAGCTTGGAAGGAGATGGTATTGACTGTAACATTCCCTGCAGATGATTTCAGCCAGCATTCTCGGCCTACAGTGGTAACCGCAAGCACGCAAGTCGTCATCTTTTTGCATCTCTGCATGCACCTAGCTGGTGCCGTGGGGAATGAGTAACTTATGGTTGCTCCCAGAGGGAAATCAATCCCCATAGGAGCAGCTGCAAAGCCCATTTCTGTAAGGATTTAGAAGAGGAGTTGGAGAGGAAAGAGTGGGAACGGGGGTTGGCAGGATGCCCAGGGTTAGTCAAGGCAAGAGACGCTGAGGAAGACTATTCAGGAGGACTAGGAAGTGGAATCACGTACGTGAATGTGAGATGGGCAGCAGAAGTGTGTGTGTGGGTGTGAGTGCAGTTGTTGATAGGAGGTGCAGCTGTGAGTGTGGTGTGAGGGTAATGGGTTTAGGTAGGGGAAGGTCAGTCGCTTACTCTTGGGATTGACACATGCTGTCTTTCTCCTCTTGTAGTCTACTCGGCAGGCGAACACGCCACAACCCCCGTTATTAAAGGTGCAACTCCGGGATTGCCTGGACAGCCGATGCCAGAACCCAATACTCCTGCCCACAAAACCCTCCGCACTCCCATTCGTCCCAGCGAGTCCCCGGCTGACGGAAATTTTCAGCTCGGGCAGCGTGGGTAGGCTGACTCCCTCGGGCAGCCACATTGAAGTTTTCTGGGCAGATCCGTAGTAGGATTGGACAGCTGAGATATGACATGTTCCGGATTGGCAGAAGCCGGGAAAAGTGTTTCCTTGGTAATCTGAGTCAACGCAGCTGGTGCCGTCTGGTTCGATGATAGGGTTACCGCATTTGCCGCTGTTACAGGTGTTACCAGCGATGCAGGGGTTGGCTGTTACACTGCATTTCGCGCATTCATCTGTTGGGAATAGGAGGGACCACGGTGGGGTATGGCAGGGGAGGTACGACATGAGAAGGTTAGGCAGGAATTGGCACGGCACAGGGAGGTACGGCAGTGGGAGGCACGGCAAGGGGAGGTATGACAGGGGGAGGTATGACTGGGGGAGGTATGACAGGGGGAGGTATGACAGGGGGAGGTATGACAGGGAGAGGTATGACAGGGAGAGGCGTGACAGGGGGAGGTATGCCCAGACTCACTCTTGCTGCACAGGGGGTGACTATAGGCCACGAGCATGGGAAGCGTCCCGGAAGGGTCGTACTTGGCTAGGTCCTCGATATTGACGGCAGGTGGGGGTACAGCAGTGGGCAGGGAGCAGAACAGCAGGGGGAGTGTGGCACCCAAAGCACTCACTCTTGCTGCACAGTGGGTGACTGTAGGCCACGAGCATGGGAAGCGTCCCGGAAGGATCATACTTGGCTAGGTCCTCGATATTGACGGCTGCTTTATCCTTCCTTACAGCCCTGATTGTGACGTCAGCGACACGTGTTGCCATCTGAGTGGACACCTGGTTGTGCTGCCTGAACTGCTGGTAGCGGGCGGGCTTGTTCTGAGGAAGGGGAGAAAAAAGACGAGGAGGGCCAGGGGGGAGCAGGGCTGGGGAGGGGAGGTGAGAAAAGAGGTTGATATGGGAAGCAGTGACCTTGTTGTGCTCTGCCTGAACTGCTGGCAGCGGGCGGGCTTGTTCTGAGGAAAAGGAAGGGGAGGAAGAGGAGGGGTAATGTAGCAGGGGAGATGATGGGAAAAGGGAGGTGGATGTTGGGAGGAGGACACCTGGTTGTGCTGCCTGAACTGCTGATAGCGGGCGAGTTTGCTCTAAAAAGGGGGAGAAAGAGGGAGGACGGGGAGGAAGAAGAGGGGGTTAAAACCAGGGGGGATGGTGGTGAAGTGACTTTTGAGCCGACTCAAAAGTCACCTCGGGGAGGAAGAGGAGAGGGTTTGAACCAGGGGGGGACGGTGGTGAAGTGAGGTGGGTGGGCGTGAGGGGTAACGCACCTGGTTGTGCTGCCTGAATTGCTGGTACCGTGTGGGCTTGTTTTGAAAGCAGGATAGGGACGGGAGAACGAAGGTGAAGGTGAAGGAAATGAATGAGAGGGAGGATAGGAGAAAATGAAAGAGGGTAAGGGCTTGATTCTGTGCTGCCTGTACTGCTGGCGGCGGGCGGGCTTGTTCTGGAGGAGGGAAGAAGGTGGGGGGGAAGAGGATGGGGAGGGGGTAAAGGGGGGGGGAGGATGAGAAAGAGGGTAAGGGCTTGATTCTGTGCTGCCTGTACTGCTGGTAGCAGGCGGGCGTGCTCTGAAGGGGTGAGGAAGAGGGGGGGAGGAGGCGGACGGGAAGAGTATAGGAGGGAGAAGGAGACGGAGAGGGTAAGGAAACCTTAATAGGAGACGAAAGGCAAGGCGCCCCGCCCTTCTTGTCCAGCCTCCGCGCGTGGGGAAGGAGGGGGAGAGCATGAGAGGGCCTGAGGAGAGAGGGCGGGGGCCTTGCTCTGAGAGGGGGGATTGCGCCTACCTGCGTCTTGGGGGAGAAGATTCCGACCGCCCCGCCCTTCTTGTCCAGCCTCCGCGCGTGCGCCGCGGTGAGCATGGCGACGAGCGCGCGCTTCTCCATCGTCTTGCGCGCAATCACCGCGTCGGGCCCGCGCGTCATGCGCACAACGCCCTTCACTCCGCCGTATGACTGCGGGGGGTGGGGGAGACGAGCGGGGTTTGGGGGGAAAGGGCCAGTGAGGATGCGGGGAGGCGGATAGCGGAGAATACAGGATCGCGGATAGCGGGGGAATCGGGCTTGGGAAGGTCGTTTTTGAGGCGCCTCAAAAACGACCCCAGTGAGGATGCGGGGTGGCAGACAGCGGAGAATGAAGGATCGCGGATAGCGGGGTAGTTGGGCTTGGGAAGGGTGGGGATTTTTCCGAACAAACATGCAAGGATCATCTGCATGGTTCGGACGTACGGTTCATGTTCCTACCTATTACGGTTTCATCTTCCCAAATTGGCCGTTCATTCTCAAGGTGTGTTCGCAATAATCTTACCTCCGTGCTATTCGTTTGCTCACCATGGCGACAGGAGCGCCAATCGCGCTCATGCGACTGGCGAAGATCGCAGAGCCCGGGATGACGACGTTGGCGACCCACACCGCCGTCGTCGTGAGCTGATGTGCGACAAACAGAGGGGGCGGAAAAGGGGAAAGAGGGGGGGAAGGGTTGAGGGAGAGAGGGGGGGGGAGGGGTGAGGGGGAGAGCCCGGAATGACGACGTTGGCGACCCACATCGCCGTCGTCGTGAGCTGTTGTGCGACAGCGCGAGGGGCAAGAGGGGGGGGAGGAGGAACGGGAGGAGGAGAGGTGGGCCGGGAGAGGGGAGTATGGGTACAGATGGGTACGGATGGGTATGAGTGAGAGTGGATGGGTACGGATGAATATGGATGGTGCGGATTGGTACATCTCGACGCGTGCGATAAATTCCTCCTTACTCGGCGCGCAACGTACCTGATTGTACACGTTCTTCGCGCACTCCTCCTTGCTCGGCGCGCAGCCCATCCCGCAGTTTGTCCATTTCCCGCCGTACGCGCTACAGTCGTGCACGCATAGCGAACCCGCGGGCCGATATCCCGCCTTACACTTCGGCATGCAATTGCCCATAACGTTTTGCTGACGCATCGGGCATCCTGATGAGCCCTTCTTGCCTCGGGATTTCCGCGTGTACGTGTCGCGCCAGCAGAAGTTAAATATCGACGATGTGTTTACAACCTCAAGATTCTCTCGCCGAGGCACTGTATACTCGCCAGAGAAACCGCTTGTATCGCGGATGGAACCGCCGTCCGAGACGGGTAGTAAAGTCAACTCATCTGCCACCTCGTTAAATTCTGGGCTGATAAAAACGGATTCGGAGAATGAGAAGTAGCTGAACAGTAAAAACGTTGCTACATTGAACGGTAGGACGGAATTGAAGAGCGGTTTACGCCTCGCAATAGCATCGGCTGGATGTATCAGTGACATAGTCGATCGTATCGACGTAGAGCCTCAGTAAACGTGACAAGTATTACAAGAAGAAGCTTTTCAAACAACTACGCGACTTGCTCCTGAGAAATGCGGTAAGGAGTGAACTCTTGTGTTTTTTACAGATTCGACTTAAGCCTAATCAAGTGATCCGAATCACGCCAGTTGATATGGATGAAGCTCAATGGTTGTCTTGTCCACCGTCCATAATGGGATCACTGATGAGAATTCTCGGAGGTTGACTGGTAGGTAGGTGGCTGCCGACAAACGTGCTCCCACCGTCCAAGCCACGACCAGCACTCTCACTCTCTCTCTCTTCCCCCTTCCGCCACCCCCTCTCCCTCTCTCTCACTCACTCCCTCTCGCCCCCTCTCTCTCGCTTCCTCTCTCTCTCTCTCTCTCGACGACGGCGCTGGAACGAGAGAGGGGAACTAGCTACGACGGCACTGGAACGAGAGAGGGGAACTAGCTACGACGGCGCTGGAAAAAGGGAGGACTCGGCGTGCAATCTGACTCAGAGAACACGTACGGAACTTGATCGCCTCGATGCGTCTCGGTGGAACTCGGAGCAAAAGACAAATCTTGACTCAAAAATCCGTGCGTCTCGTGTAACGAGGTAGTTCTGCTCCGGTGGAACCTGGTCGAAAAGATGTAGGATGGTCCCAGCGGTGCGGTTGGGAAGAATGGGAAAGAAGGGGCGCGCGGAAAGTTATTGCACTGCTGGACTGGGAAACGGTCTGCGTTTGTGAGGGTACGGAGACGGAACAGGCGGACCGGCAAGTAACCACTGTCGGTAAGGTACTGGACTGGACGGTACTCGACGGGGTTTTGCTTGAATGATGTGTCGGTGATCACGACACATGACATGAGCACAAGAGAATCTCCAACACGTCGTCATGACTCGTGACTCGTGAAGCGCATCGTCTGGGGCACGAGCCATGACGTGGTCGGTAAAGTGCTGTCGAATTGTTCAGCTCCTCTCCTCGTGCTCAGTTTGGTTTGGGGAAGTTGAAATTCGCCTGTTGAGATATGGGCGAGGGGGAGGGGAAGGTGGGGACATGAAAAATGCGCCCAAGCATTTCGCACTATTTTTCCACCACGCATCCTATACCCAGAGCATCAGTCATACAGTAGATGGGTCATGAATGTTTGGACGTGCAAATTCGTGAATGACAAATGCGTCTCGGGAACGCGACGCGGCGAGTGTTTCACCATGGTAACCTTCAGAGCAGATTCGTATCGAGAGCACTGCTTCGGTAAACGCAACGATATGGAATCTATGACGTGTATCGCGCTAACTCGTACCGAGGCATTGTTTGTTTTTCCCGCCAACCAGATGCACAGCCCCTGGCGGGAGGGGGGAGCTGCTTGCCCTGCTGGCAGCAACGAGTGCCATGCTGGACTTCAATGTAGAGTTCCACAGGCGCTGTCTTTTCGCCACGAGTGACCATGTTCCTGAAAAAGTGGAACCCACCTCTAGAATCTCGGCCCAATCAGCACAACTTCGTCCACACTGAAAACCGCACCCCAACGCCCATGACGAAGACAGTAACACAAAATTTCAGCGGGTTGCGAACGGACAGATTCTTTACGAACCCCACCGATAGTCTGTTACTGCCGTCGCAAAGGAAGAGCCTTTGGATCTCCCCGCACAAATCCAGATTCGCCTCGAGCAGGTCTTCCACAAAAGCGCATATTTCCATATATCAGTCCTTGTTTCTGTCAGCCATTCTTCTGATACCAATTTCCTAGACTTTCCTGTTGAAAGTCTCCAGCTGACTTCTCTTTCAGAAAGACTTCTCTTATTTCCCTTTTTGCCACCTCGGCTCACAATGGCTAAGAAGAGCGTTAGCTCGTTGACCGCGGCTGACCTTAAGGGAAAGAGGGTGTTTGTCAGGGCTGATCTGAACGTTCCTCTTGCCGGCGATGAGATCACTGACGACACGCGCATTCGCGCTGCAATTCCCACCATCAAGTATCTGACGGAAAAGGGTGCTAAGGTCCTTCTCGCGTCCCACTTGGTGAGTCTTAGGAAGCCATGTGTAGAAGACTTTTTCGAAGCCATTCGCGAAGCGAGCCTGAATGTACATCTTTGCAGCTGTATTGTTTTATTGCTCAATCTGTAGCGCTGGATCTATGCAGCATGTTTTAGCACGACATTATCTTTCTCGTCTTCAGTTAATTTGCCGGTGATGTCGTACTGTCGTCTCATTCTCTTCCGTCTTCTCATTTTCCCTGTATTTTCAGGGACGTCCTAAGGGCGTCACCGAGAAGTACCGCCTTACACCTCTCGTTCCTCGGCTCTCGGAGCTTCTCGGCCAGGAGGTCAGTCTTCTTGTCACTCTCTCCATTGTTTGTCTAATAGATCTTCTGGTATTCCAGGCATCCATTCCATGCTGCAACGCTAACGAACCCTAAGACCATAACATCTTTTCACGCAGCATATGCACGTGACGACGGTTGACGCTTCTGTCGACCTGTCTTTTTCTCCTCCAACCGCGTAAACTTGAAGTAGTCTGTAAACTACAATTTTTCTAACCGTGCACTATGTGCAGGTGAAGAAGGTCGACGATTGCATCGGCGAGGTCGTCGAGATGGCCGTCGCGGAGCTCAAGGAGGGTGAGGTGCTGCTGCTAGAGAACGTGCGGTTCCACCCCGAGGAGGAGAAGAATGTCGCCGAATTCGCGCAGAAGCTCGCGGCGAACGCGGATCTCTACGTCAACGACGCGTTCGGCACGGCGCACCGCGCGCACGCGTCCACGGAGGGGGTGACTAAGTTTCTGAAGCCGTCCGTTGCTGGATTCCTTCTTCAGAAGGTCAGCTCCATCTGTGTCTAAGATTTGAATTTGATAGCATCGCTTTGCTTTTCCACCTGCACTTCGCTCTTCTTTGCTTCATCGTTTTGTATGATTCAGGACCTGTTAACCTGCTATACTTCGTGTTAACCCAGAATATATTGTTAGCAAATGTCCTACTACGAATCCCACAGTTAGTTCTCAAGTTTGTGTTAGCAAACGTCCACTGTTATATCAGATGACGTTCCTACAAATCTGGTTGTGCTTCACGTTTTGCCGTTTCTCTCGCACGAAGCGCCACTTTCCTGACCCGTGTACTCGTTATTGTCTTCCTCAGGAGCTGGACTACTTGGTTGGAGCCATCGCTGAGCCCAAGCGGCCGCTAGTGGCGATCGTGGGTGGATCCAAGGTGTCAACCAAGATCGGCGTGTTGGAGTCCCTGCTTAACAAGTAGGTTTCTCGTTGTTGCTCGTCATGAGAGAATTCCGGTCATGATGACTGCACAGACTTAGCACGGCTGTTCCTGATCGTGGGCGCTGCTTAACGAGTAAGCTACCCGTTTCCAAGGCTAGCTGACTCATAATGTCCACCGAATCGGCGTGCCTGGGGTCTCTTTTTAGCAAGACATTCTACCGTTTCAACTTGTAGTAAGATAGTCTGAACGGTACAAATCGGCTTCATAACCGGCGACGGTGGCGTCGGCGCTCGCGTCAGTGAGGTAGGGTATTAAGTAAGGCAGTGGATTCTTGTGAAGGTTATTTTTGACCTGAAAGGTAGCAATCTTGTTGTCTTGATGGAGGTGGTTCGTGAGATTAGTCTCACGGTGGCCACTGGTGCCGCGACACGATTTCACTCTACTGTTTAAAGGGCTGATATCCCAATGCTCCCTTTCCCCGCTCTTCTCCCTTTTCCCTCTCTTCCTCGCCCCCTTTCGACAGGTGCAACGCGCTGCTGCTGGGCGGCGGCATGATCTTCACGTTCTACAAGGCGGAGGGCAAGTCAGTGGGAAGATCGATGGTGGAGGATGAGCAGGTGGAGCTGGCGGGCAGCCTCCTCAAGTTGGCCAAGGAGAAGGGCGTCAAGCTGCTACTGCCCGAAGACCTTGTCGTCGCGAATAATTTTGCCGCTGATGCCGCGAGCAAGGTGAGATCACTGGGGCTGGAGGGAGGGGGGGAGGTAGGGAGGGAGGAAGTGGGGGAGGGAGGGAGTGAGGAAGGGGGGGAGAGAGGGAGGGAGGGAGGGAAGGTGGGATGTAGGTAGGTGAAGTGCTGGGAGGAAGGGTTAAGGGTGCTAGGGCGAGGGTGGAAGGGTGCTGGGAGGGGGAGAGAAGGGTCTTTGGGACGAGGGGGGGAGGGTGCTGGGGCAAGGGAAGAAGGGTGCTGGGAGGAGGTTAAAATGCGTGTTAGGGTGAGACATCCCATCTCCAGGTGCATAAGCCATCCTGGATTGCTGCTCAGGGATGGATATTGACGCAGACAGCATCCGTACCTTGTCTGATGTAACCGTTGAATATGCTAAGCTCATATGCTAAGCGTTCCTTCAAACGTGTGCATCTCTCCTCTCTCCTCTCTCCTCTCTCCTCCATCCTGTTCCATCTCCAGGAGGTTTCAGCAAATGACATTCCGAATGGCTGGATGGGTCTCGACATCGGCCCTAACACTATCAAAGACTTCTCTGAAGTGATTAGTGACGCTCAGACCATCATCTGGAACGGCCCCATGGGAGTCTTTGAATTCCCAGCCTTCGCCAAGGGAACCATTGTGAGTGGTGCTGCTGGCTGTGTCATATGCACATGGGTGCTTTGGTGGTGGTAACCACTCACCGAGTTCAAATGCGGGCGCATGGTGTGATAAACCATCATACTATTTGGCACGTGATTCCTTTTTTTTTTTTTTTTTGCATCTTCCTCTGATCAATTGCCCCAAGCTTCTGATCTGTCCGCTCCTCGTCCTTCCTGCTTCTCTTAAATCCCATCCCATCCCTTGGCATCTCACCAAACGCTCACTGCTAAAATTTGTGCCTTTTTCCCCCGTCTATCACTTGGTGGTTTCCAGGCAATTGCCGAAACTCTAGCAGGAGCGACAGCAAAGGGTGCCACAACCATCATTGGAGGAGGTGACAGCGTGGCAGCAGTGGAACAAGCAGGATTGGCTGACAAAATGAGCCATATTTCGACAGGTGGCGGTGCGTCGTTGGAGCTGTTGGAGGGTAAGGTGCTCCCTGGTGTTGCTGCACTTGATGAATTGTTGGGCTGAGACAGCCCTTAGGATCTTTTGCAGGGGTAAATTCGGGGTAGAGTAATTGTAATAGCGGAAGCGTTTAATGAAGACTTGTGAACCACCTTGCACTAGTGTGTGAGAGCAAAGTAAGTTGATTAAAACAAAGAGATACAAGCATTTATATATGAGTACAAGGAATATGAAAAGATACGGTTGTAACTACTTTACTGTTGCTGTTGCGGTTCGATACAGTGACGACTCGGGCAACCGCTCTGTAACGAGTCGGTTGTGTGTCCTTGCTGTCGTACTGTACTTGTCAGGTCAAAGGTCGCTGACCTTTGACTTTCGCGTAACCTCCGGCAACCTCTTTCAACCTCCGAGGGTTGACTCGCTCGTGCCTCGATATGACTCGCTTCGCTTCTGGTGTGATGTTTCGACACGACAGAGGCGCTTTAGGATTTACTGTTTCCAACACTCCCCTTCGCTTCTGGAGTGTCGCTGCTGATGACGTGGCCTTGTCCAGTCAGCAGCATGCAGTACTCGAACTTCTGCTTTCCGAGCTTCTTGGTCAAATAGTCAGCTGCCATCTCGGACGTGGGACAGTAGGATAGTTCAAGTCTCCCCTTCTCGATCTCGTCTTTCACGAAGAAATATCGCAGGGCGATATGTTTCGTTCTGTTCGCGAAGCCACTTTTGTTGGCGATGCGAATTGCAGATTGGTTGTCGCAGAATAGGGTGAAGTTGGGTAACTCGGCTAACTTCGCTTCTTCCAGCAGCTCGCGAAGGTAAAGTCCTTCCTTGGTGGCTGAGCAGAGTGCGATATATTCTGCTTCAGCTGATGAGAGGGCGATTAGTTCTTGCTTACTCGACTGCCAGGAGATAGGACCGATAGGCTCGAGTCGGTAGATGTAGCCGGTGCGGGAGCGCCTATTGTCGGAATCGCCGGCGTGATCGGCATCGACATAGCCGATTAGCTTGGTTGGTGTAGTTGCGTTCTTGTGATACGTTAAGCCGATCGTTGGAGTGCTGACGAAGTAGTGAAGAGCGCGGTCGAGCTCCGCCAGGTGTTCTGTTTCAGGCCTTTTGAGGTAGGTAGCGAGCTGGCTTGCGGAGTATGAGAGGTCGGGGCGGCAGGTGACAGCTGCGAAGAGAAGACAGCCCAACTTTCTCTGGTAGTCGCGTATGCCGGCGGGCTTCAGTAGAGTAGATCCTCCCTTGTCGGCTCCTGTCGTGTAGCGGTATGGCGTGGAGATCGCGGTCGGTGTGAAGGCGAAACGCTTGGCGATAGTGTCGGCGTATTTTGCGGCGCTGAGATAGATCGCGTCGTCTTCTTCTCGGATGTTGAGCCCAAGATACTGTGTGACGGTAGATGAAACTCTGAGCGTGAGATCTTGCTGTAGCTCCCCTTCGAACCAGGTGGTGATGTCGTCGGTCGAGCCGATGTAGAGGAGGTCGTCTACATAGACGATTAGTAAGACGTAGTCGTTGTTCTTCGTAAGCCGGTACATCCCTTGATCGTGGTGTAGTTGCTTGAATCCAATGCGGATGAGACGGGCGTGTAGATACTGCTGCCATAGCCGCGGGGCTTGCTTAATCCCGTAGAGCGATTTCAGTAGTTGGCAGACTTTGTTCGATTCTCCGTTGGTGCCGTGCGGTAGTTCCACGAAGATCTCTGCGTCAACGGGTGCGTAGAGGAAGGCGTTCGCGACGTCGATTTGCCGCAGCTTCTTCCTTTTCATGGCGGCGATCGCGAGAAGAATTCGGAGTGAGGTGTGTCGGCTAACCGGGGCGAATGTCTCGGTGAAGTCCCGTCCGTGCTCCTGATCGAATCCACGTACCACCCAGCGTGCTTTGAATTTCTCGATTGTGCCGTCTGCTTTCGTTTTCACGCGGAAGACCCATTTTCCGGTGAGAATGGTCTTGTTTCTTGCCACGCTGATGGGAACGACTTTCCAGGTGTTCCGTTCCTCCAGCGCTTTTAATTCTCTGTCCATGGCTTCACGCCATTTCTCCCTGTGTTCCCCCCCCAGAGCCTGCTGAACCGTGGCAGGCTCCTTAGGAATGGCTGAGCCGTGGACTGCGGTGACGAGGCCGAGAATTTGCAGTCCACTCTCTGAGTAGCAAGCGGGGGAGTGTGGTGTCCTCGGGATAAACAGCTTCGTCTCCTGTTTCAGGTGTTGGATTGAAATTCGGTCCTACTCGTTCTGCTTCGTTGGTGTTGACCCGTGCAGGTGTAACGTAACCATTGTCGGCGAATTCGTAGAAGACTTCGGCGTTGACGCTTTCGCGAGGATTGTCTTCGTCCATTGGGATGTCCACGGAGCAGTAAGGGAGAGGTCCGGCTGCTTCCGAGGCTCCCTCCACGTTCTGCTCGTCCCAGTCAGCTTCGTCTTCTGCCGAGGCGAAGGCTCGGTGCCCATGAAATCCGCCCGAGAGGTCAGGTCGGTTTTCTTCGATGTACATGAGGTGAGTTCCGAGGGTGAGGTTTTCGTAGAAAACGACATCACGTGCTGCTACTGTTTCCTTGCTGTTGATGTCGAAGATTTTCCACGCGTTGTAATGTTTTGCGATGCCCAGGTGTAGTCCCCACTGTGCGCGTTGAGAGAATCGCCCAGCTCGTGCAGATGGAGGTCGGTACTGTACCATGCAGCCGAAGACTCTCAACATTTTTGTGCTGCCCAATTTCCCTGTCCACAGCAGATGCGGTGATGCGTTGTTCGGGAGCGATGATGACGAAAGCAAGTTGTGCAGCATGACGGCGTGGTCCATCGCTTCGGGCCACTGGTGGTTGGGCAGGTGCATGCCACGTAGCAGCTTGCGCATGGTGGCTTGCAGCGTCCTGTTCATCCTTTCTGCTACGCCTTGCTGTTGGTGAGCGTAGGGAAGGGAGATGAGCCTCTTGATTCCTCTTTCTGCCAAGTACTGCTTGAACCTCTGTGAGGTGTATTCTCCTCCCCCGTCTAACTGGAAGCTCTTTAGCTTAGCTCCCGATTCTCGTTCTGCGACTGGAAGCCAGGCGACAAAGGCTTCGAAAGCCATGTCGCGACTTGGAAGGTTTAGGTGCCAGACATATCGAGTTGCGGCGTCGATGAAGGTGATGGTGTAGCTGTAGGCGTTTTGTCCGGGTTCACGGTTGTATAAGATGTCGCTGTACACCTTTTCGAGAGGTGTGTACGCAGGTGCGCTTGGATTGTGATGTGAGACGAACGGCTGATGCGGTAAGTCAGCTTCAGGGCAAGTGAAGCACGTTCCACGGGCTCGTTGAAGTTCTCTGCCGTCGGTCAGTAGGAGTGAGTCTTTGTCGAGCACTCCTGCTCTTATCGTGTTGTTTAACACTGTGTTGCTTGGATGTCCCATTCTTGCGTGCCAGGTACCTTCAGTGGCGCGATGTCCGGGTGACCGTCGACGAGTTGGAGTAGAAGCCGGCAGTGACGTTGGTGCTTCGGTGGACTTCTCGTGGTGCCGGTTTTAACTGTTGTGCGGGTGTCGGTGGCGAATCGTCGATGAAGGTTGGTGTCGTTGAAGGACCGGCGATTGGTGTTGATGTTGTCTCTGCTGCTGCCGATGTTGTCTCTGCTGCTGCCGATGTTGTCTCTGCTACTGCCGATGTTTGTTGAATTGTTGCTAACGCCCTTGTTCTCTCTGTTTCAGGAATGGTGTGTGAGTGCCAGAAGCCGCCGGGACTGAAGTCTGGGTCAAGATCTGGAGGATGTGTCCAAGGAGCAAAGCTGACGATGCCGTCGCTGTCAGCGGTGCCAAGGTCTGGTACGAAGTCAAGAACGAAGACGTTGTTCTTGAGGATCGCCTTTCCGATGTAGAGGCCGCCCTTTCCGTGGTACAGCTTGAACTCCTGGGTGGTGCTGTCTGCTTCGAGGTGAATGCCTTTCGCCATCAACTGACTGACGCTCAGTAAGTTGTAACCGAGACCTTCTGCGATTAAGACCTTGGTCATTTGTAGAATCACACTTGTTTCTCGTGACTGAAGTTGTACCACTCCTTGTCGTCGTGTGCGCAGGTTCTGGTTGTTGGCGACGGTGATGACTACTTCTCGTTGAAGTTGATACTCTCGTTGTACGAAGCGTCCTGAAGAGCACATGTGCTGTCCGCAGCAACTGTCCAAGAACCATGTGTCCTTCCCGGATGGTTCACTCTGGGCGATGGCGGCGTATGTCGGGTTTGGCTGCAGTGACTCGCGGCGGGGTGTGCTGTTGTCGAGCTGTTCTTCTGGAGAGTAGTGTGGTGGTGATTCAGTGACGCAGGAGTCGGTCAGTCTTGCCATACAACTGACGATGTTCCTTGTTCCTTGCGCAGGTTGTCCCGCAGGTGGTGTTGAGGCTTGAATCTGGGTCGTGGGGTTTGCTTGTGTTGAGGCAACTTGGCTGCTTGAGGGTCGAAGCTGTCGCTGTTGTGGCGTTGGCTGTTGTCGATTTGGGCAGTGCGTGCGTGGGTGCCCAGACGTCTTGCAGATGTGGCAGAACGGAGGTACGGGTTTTGGTTGTTGTCGGTTGCTGTTGTTGTTGTATCGTCGCTGAGTGTGAAACGCGAATTCCGGTACTGATGTCTTTCTCTTGTGTCGTTCTTCTTGCAGGTCCATGTCTTGCTGCTCAGCATGTATTTCGGCGCAGAGCGCTGCTTCGGAGATTCTTCCGTGGGCTCGGAGAATGGCTTTTGTTGCGCGCCATTGAGGACCGAGGCCGCCGATGATGACTGTCACGAAGGCGTCTTCAGAGATTGACCCTCCGCATCGAAGAAGCTTGTCGCGCAGTTCGCGACATCGGCTGACATATGCCATCCCTTTTTCGCCTGGTTTCATTTCAACCGTTGTCAGTTGCGCCATTAGCCGACTTTGACTGACGCTGTCTGTTGCTTGATACAGGTCCTTCAGGTGCTTGTACGCGAGTTCCGCGGAGTTGCCGAATCCCCGGTAAGACCGTATGTTCTGCTGCTGAGTTGGGGTGATATTTCTCAGTAGGATCGTATACGCCATCATCGACTGATATGTATACTGCTGCTTCTCATACTGTGTGCCGTTTGTTGGGTATGGCAGGGACCCGTCGAAGAAGCCAAGTATCTGCGCGCCTTCCATCATCAGCTCGAATTCGAACGACCAGGTAAAGAAGTCCTTTCCGTCGAAGGGCCTTGACGTCTGCAGCTTTAAGACGTGCGCGAATTGCGATTGAACTTGTAGTGCATCCAGTTGTTTTTCTTGTCCAGATGGAGCTTGCGGGTGCGGCATGAAGCTGATGGACCCGCGTTCGTACGGAGCAAAGGTAGGTTGTTGCTGATTCCCGCGCGCATATGATGAACCATCAAGACTCATTGGAGTCACGTTGTTGTTGTTGCTGTTGTTTGACTGCGCAGGTGCCGACTGCTGGTGTTGCTCGTAAAACGACATGAAGGAGAAGAACTTCTCCATCATACTCTGGTCGAAGTTGGCAGGCTGGCTGGCTGAAGGCGCTGCTGGTCCCGTTGCGGTTCCTTCCTCTGTCTGCAGGCCAGAGGCAGGAGGTGGGGTAGGAGTAGTCCCGGGAGAACCATTGGAGGAACTCCTTTCCTTGTGTGTTGCCATGTCGTCTGTTGGTGTCTTGGTGGTAGTTGAATTTTCCCTGATAGCTCTCATACCATGTTGGGCTGAGATAGCCCTTAGGATCTTTTGCAGGGGTAAATTCGGGGTAGAGTAATTGTAATAGCGGAAGCGTTTAATGAAGACTTGTGAACCACCTTGCACTAGTGTGTGAGAGCAAAGTAAGTTGATTAAAACAAAGAGATACAAGCATTTATATATGAGTACAAGGAATATGAAAAGATACGGTTGTAACTACTTTACTGTTGCTGTTGCGGTTCGATACAGTGACGACTCGGGCAACCGCTCTGTAACGAGTCGGTTGTGTGTCCTTGCTGTCGTACTGTACTTATCATGTCAAAGGTCGCTGACCTTTGACTTTCGCGTAACCTCCGGCAACCTCTTTCAACCTCCGAGGGTTGACTCGCTCGTGCCTCGATATGACTCGCTTCGCTTCTGGTGTGATGTTTCGACACGACAGAGGCGCTTTAGGATTTACTGTTTCCAACATGAATAAGTAGGGCTATGCAGCAGAAATCCTGGTGCTTACAGAGTCGCTTGTAGTTAGTGCAGAGATAAAGTTGTGAACATTTGCTACGGATCTTTGCACGTTTCTATAAATTCAACTACATCCTGACATGGTATGTCAGGTCTACACAGTGATTGCAGGTCAAAGCTTCATCCTTGAAAGTAATGATTGTGACCTCCTAAGCTCCTACCGGAGTAACACTAAGGGTGCATTCCTGCCTTGACACAAATGTCTCAATTGTATTGTGACGCGTAAAAACAGCATATAACGTACACCGTCACAATCTCGGGTCGCCTTAATGCGAATGCAACCGTATTTTACATTGGTTTGCGTCAAACGCGCTGGTGTCGCGGACGAGTTGGACGAGGCCCCGTCACCTCCGTGAAATCGCCTGAGCGATCAAAGTCACGTCAATTTACCTGCCCTGCCGCATGCACCTGGACACTGGACCACTTGACAGTTTAGCGCGGGAAACACACCCGCCATCCCTGGGCAGCATCGAAAGGGGTTTCCTTGCATGTGTTACACGCAAGGCTAACTCGCGGCTGGTTCATTTGTTACACCTGGTTTTACCTGCCTGCCCGGCGCCAAACTGCGGGCGCTCGAATTAACTGGTTTGGAACCAATGGAATCTCGACAGGTGTACAACACTCTGAGTCGCTAAATGTCGCAATACATCCAACTCTTTGTGACGCGTAAATGTGCAAATTTACAGGCGCGACTCGAAAAAACAGGCATTGAGACATTTGTGTCAAGGCAGGAATGTACCCTAAGTGAGGTAATGAGTGTTCAGAGCTTCGAAGGACTCCAAACAAGTATGCCCTCCCTGTAGGATAAGCCCCGTCGATTATTACCAATTAAAGTGGTAGTGGTCGATGTCAAATTACCAGGCCCCCCTATCCTCTTTTGTATAAAGTTTACATACTGGCAACTGGATTATACTGTGAAACTGTTGGAAGCCACTTGCTCCCTGCCATCCACCATTGGCAGAAGTTGCTGAATGTTATCATACATCCCAAACAGCCCTCAAGGCAACAGTGTTGTATCCCAGCCAGCCTCGCTCCCAGCAATGGAAAAGAGCAGCAAGACTCTAGTAAGGAGAGGTATGAAGCCAAAACACAGTTCAAACTGGCATCCTCTCCCACCCGCCAACCATAGGCAGCAGCTGCTGACGCTTGTCATACATCCCCACCCCAGCAGCCACCAGCCAGCATTGAACCCCAGTCTCCCCTCCCACCATTGAGTGGAGCAGCGTGACTCGACTTAAGAAGGCATGAACAAAAGCTTCAAATCGCCGTGCTCTCCCACCTTCCCACCATCGGCAGAAGCTGCTGAACCTCGTCGTACATTCCCAACAGCCCTCAAGGCAACATTGTTGTATCCCAGTCTCGCTCCCAGCAATGGAAAAGAGCAGCAGGACTCTAGTAAGGTGAGGTATGAAGCTAAGACACAGTTCAAATCGCCATCCTCTCCCACCCGCCAACCATAGGCAGCAGCTGCTGAACCTTGTCGTACATCCCCAGCAGCCCTCCCGTATGTACAAACAAAACTCGCCGTCCAGTCCATTCGTCTGGATTCTGCCTCATGTCCTGTAGCAATCCCTTTAGGGCCTTGCCACTTTGGGAAGGAGGGATGGTGGAGGGAAGAAGAGGGAGAGAGGGAAGGGAGGGAGGCATGGATCAGTCGAAGGCTTTAACACCACATAGAGCCACATAGACATGTGTACATTACCAAACAAACATTTTTTAGGCGCCTCAAAGATCAGTCAAGTCAAGGCTTAAACATCACATAGGGGCACATAGACATGCACACTTTAACCGACATACCTGTAGACAGGGCCGAGCACTATGCCAGTGCTTTTGAGCCACATAGACACATGTGAATACAGTACCATTACAAAAATCCATATGTATTCATGTGCACTTCAACAGACACACCTGTATACTGGGTCGAGCACTATGCCGGTGCTTTGAGCCACTGATTGCACCAGCTGAAGCTCCTCCTCCGTGCTTATGGCGTAGCCTGCACCCTTCACCTGCTCATGTGCACATACGGAAGTGCACACACACATGTAAGGACGAGTAAGAGGAAGTGAGAAAAGCATGGATCGTTACAGCAATGACCCGCAGCAGGTATCGACCAGCAACGCTCCCAGGTGGGGACGATGTGACTCTGTCTAGCTTTGAGGCGCCTCAAAACCAGGCGGGGACAATGTGACTCCGTCCAGCAGCCCTTGAATGTAGTCGTAGGAGCAAGGAACCGGGAGTGCTGCACACAGAGACTGCTGCTTTGCTTTCCATATCAGCAGCCCTTGAATGTAGCTGTAGAAGTAAGTTGCACACACACATGTAAGGACGAGTAAGAGGAAGTGAGAGAAGCATGGATCGTTACATCAATGACTCGCAGCAGGTCACGAGCAGCAACACTCCCAGACTTAGACGTGACTCCGTCCAGCAGCCCTTGAATGTAGTTGTAGAAGTAAGTAACCGTGAGTGGTGCACACAGAGCAGGCATTTTCCATTGCAGGACGAGTGAACGAGTGAGAGGATGTGAGACAAAGACGAATGGACACTCACGTCAATAACTCGCAGCAGGTCCCTTGAAGCAACGCCCCCTGGTTTAGAAGTCACTCCATCCAACAGCCCTTGAATGTAGTCGTAGAAATAGCCGGGAGAGTCGCACACAGAGTAAGAGTAGGCATTCCCTTGTGAAGGAAGAGTGAGAGGTGAGGAAGCTGGTTACGTATGGGCTCTCACATCAATCACTTGAAGCAGGTCATTTGAAGAAACGGCCCCTGGTGTGGACGTGACCCCATCCAGCAACCCTTGAATGTAGTCGTAGAAATAACCAGGAGAGTCGCACACAGAGTAAGCGTGCACCCGCGAAGTAAGGGAGCTCAGATGCACTCCCAGCGCCAGCCCTGCTGACGTGCCTCCACTGGGGGCGGAAGGAGAATGGGCACACGAGGAAGGGTGGAGGCCAAAGATATGGACAGACAGAGTGGCTGCTAAGATGCACTCCCAGCGCCAGCCAGCCCTGCTGACGTGCCTCCACTGGGGGCGGAAGGACAATGGGCACACGAGGAAGGGTGGACCGTGGAGCACAAAAAACAAAACAGCTTTGTCGCACACAGAGTGGGCAGAGATATGGAGAAGGCACGCACAGAGATGCGGGCAGAGATATGCAGAGGGGATTGTTATCTGAGAAAGAAGCAGGGAAGTGTGGGAGGGAATAGCCAGGAGTGTTGCACACAGAGAAGGCACGCACGCAGGTGCAAGAGAGGGAGCTCAGATGCACTCCCAGCGCCAGCCCGCCCTGCTGACGTGCCGCCACTGGGAGGAGATGGTGTGGGGATGGGGTTGTGGGGGAAAAGGACGGCAGGCGTAGGAGGAAGGATGGATCATACAAAAGGGAAGGACTGTCGCACACAGAGTGGGCAAGCACGCGGGTGGAAGAGAGGGCGCTCAGATGCACTCCCAGCGCCAGCCCGCCCTGCTGACGTGCCGCCACTGGAATGGTGGGTGTGGGGGCAAGTGGGGAGAGAAAAGGGGACCCAATAACTTACCTGCCACACGCCATGGTATTGTCGTCAAACCCCGAAGCACCTACCGTCTCACCTCTAGTAGCCTCCAGACCCACACCCGCCCTTGCACCATAGCATGCTAAGAAAGAGCACTCTTCCACACCCTCATCACATCAGTAAGAACGAAGCTCACCCACCTGCCACACGCCATGGCAATGTCGTCAAACCCTGAAGCACCTCCCGCCTCTCCTGTGCTCAGCTGTTGCTCGATCTCCCTCACTGCCTCCATGTACCCCCTGGTGGAACGGTGGTAACCGGGTAACAAAACAGGTAGGGGCGGACAGCAAAGGGGGTGGTAACCAAGTAACACATAGCCCCGGAATCATCAAACTCTGAAGCACCTTCAGCTGCTCAGCTGTTGCTCAATCTCCCTCACTGCCTCCATGTACCCCCTGGTGGGACATGGAAGGGGAGAGGGTGAACATATAGGCAGCAAGGGTGTTGAGGCTCGCAGGAAGGGTGTTGGAACCCCCAACACGGTTGTTGAGGCACCTTAGATGTACACTATCTTCACACCGATTAATAACGTGCTCTACTTATTTCTCACCAGGTGCCTAGAGCGTTGGACCCCCCAACAGGGATGAGGTAGGGATTTCTTCCCTCTGCTGTTAGCCGTTCGGCAAGCACCTTCCCCAGATGCTGCAAGGAGTTAGAGAGAGAGAAAAAAAAGTTAGTTGGTAGGGGGAAGGGCGAGTTGTGGGGTGGGGGGTGGGGGGTGGGGGGGGGTTAGAAGGAGTCTATTTACCCTTCTGATGGCACATCTGATTTGAGCGTAGGTCCCTGTCAGGGATGACTTTTGAGTCGACTCAAAAGCGTAGGTCCCTGTCAGGGATGACATTGGGCTTTCTGCACTTTCGAGGCGCCTCAAAAGTCGCACTCTGCTGTTAGCCGTTTGGCTAGCACCTTCCCCAGGTGTCGCAGAGGTGACTTTTGAGTCGACTCAAAAGTCAGCCGTTTGGCAAGCTGCTTCCCCAGGTGTTCAATGGAGAGGGGGAAGGGAAAGGAGAGTACTTACAAATGGTACCTATGAGCATGCTATCACCACCATTTCGCTCCACTAGCAGAGTCGCTTCGAATCAACCCTCAAAGGTTTCCCCTATCCCCCGCGTCCCATTGGCCCCGCCCCCTCTCCTTCCCCCATCTCACCTCGCTGCCATGCTTGGCAAACTCCTCTTTGGTAACCACATGCACCCTCACCCCCACCATGCGCTCCACCAGCGGATTTGTTCTGAGTGGGATGGACAGACGAATCAAAGCCTCCCCCCATCCCTCGCTTTCTCCACCTGTCCCACCTCCTCCCCTTCCCCCATCTCACCTCGCTGCCATGCTTGGCGTATTCCTCCTTGGAAACTAGATGCACCCTCGCCCCCACCATGCGTTCCACCAGCAGGTTGCCCTCCAGGCCTGGGTCAGAGCCTGCTAGCGCCTGATGAGGGGGGAAAGAATGAGGGGGAGAGGGTAAAGGGGGCGAGGAGCATGGGGGAAAGAGAAAGAGAGGAAACTGCCAGGACATGCACCCTCTATATTGGAGTGACTTTTGAGAATTCTCAAAAGGACATGCACCCTCGCCCCCACCATGCGCTCCACCAGCAGGTTGCCCTCCAGGCCTGGATCAGAGCCCGCCAGCGCCTCGTGAGGGAGGTTTGGAGGCATAGGAGGGGACGATAGGGGGTGGAGGGAAGAATGATAAGAGCAAGATTTCTACTGCCAAGGCGTGCACCCTCGCCCCCACCATGTGCTCCACCGGCAGGTCGCTCTCCAGGCCTCAAAACTACACATCCCCTTCCCCCCTCCTCGACGCACGCTTCACCAGCAAATCTCCTCCTCCTCTCCTTCCCCCCCCCCCCCCCCGACCTTCTCTCGAACCCAGCCACCTCATGCGGCTGGTCCTCAGGAGGTGTGCCTCGAGCCCTGCCCGGCCATCCGAATCCCCATCCCCATCCCCATCCCCATCCCCATCCCCATCCCCATCCCCATCCCCATCCCCATCCACATCCTAACCCACATGCAATCAGCTTGCAAAGCAAAGTGCACACGTTGCTTCCTATCCAGCCAGCCGCCTCACCCGGCTGGTCCTCAGGATAAGGTGCGCCTCGAGCCCGGCCAATCGCGCGGCGACAGCTGTCGCGCGGCAATGATTGCTCTGGATGCCTCCGATAGTGATGAGCGTGTCTGCTCCCTTGGAGAGGGCGTCCGCTAGTAGGAACTCCAGCTTGCGCACCTGATGGTGGAGGTGACACACACACGCACGCACGCACGCACGCACGCACGCACGCACACGCGCGCGCGCGCGCGCGCACACACACACACACACACACACACAAAGATAGACTCTGGATGCGTCCGCAAGTAGAAACTCCAGCTTGCGCACCTGACAGTGGAGGTGGAATACAACACATATGTGTACGTTGCTCTGTTGTGTTTTGAGTCGACTCAAAACACACCTACATACACACATGTGTACGCTGCTCTGTAATGTTTTGAGTCGACTCAAATCACACCTACATACACACATGTGTACGCTGCTCTGTTGTGTTTTGAGTCGACTCAAAACACACCTACATACACACATGTGTACGCTGCTCTGTTTCAAAAGGTCACGTGTTTGAACAAGTGTTTTGAGACGTCTCATCACTCTTTAAACACTTCTTCAAACGCTTCGCTTGCGCACCTGATGGTTGTGGTGGAATACATACACACATGTGTACGCTGCTCTGTTCCCAAGGGCTCATCCCTCTGTCCTGGGAGGAGATCGAACATCAAGCTCCGTCACTTTCTCTTCCCCCTTGAGCCGTCTCTTTCCTTCAACCACCCACCTACTCCCTTGATCTCACTCCCCCCATCCCCCTCCCTCACCTTGTTGCCGCTGAGCTCCATTCCCGAGAGGTCATCCCTCTGCTCAGGGAGAGGGCAAAGACACGAGAGGAGCAACGGAAATATAATTTCCAGAGTCAATTCTACACGTACTTAATAGTAATAATAATAGTTAAGCATAAACAATCTTAAGACTTCCTCACGGAGCTACACTACAATGACGTCGTTGTGAATGGGGAATTGAAGGAGCTCAAGGAGAGGCGCCAGGAAGTTTTTGAGTCGACTCAAAAATCGACTCATCACACGCGGATTGAAGGAGCTCAAGGAGAGGCGTCAAGAAGTTGGGAATCGAAGGGTGAAGCAACAGCGTTACTTAGTAGTACTTCTTGACCTTTATGTAGAGCTCCATGCCGGGTGGGAGTCCGGAATGTTCCACTGATGAATGAGTGACTTTTGAGTCTACCCAGAAGTCACCTTGGAAACGTTCTCAACAGACAACTGCTGACCTTTATGTAGAGCTCCATGCCGGGTGGGAGATCTGGAATGTTCCACCGATGAATGGGCGTGGGGCGCTGGTTGCAACAGAGAGAATGGGGGGGGGGGGGAGGCGTGGTTGGAAGGACATAGTGATAAAGAGAAAGAGGTAAGGATCCCCCTTCCTCCTCTCCAGCTGAGGCAGCTTCGCCATGGAATAGATTGGTAGAGGAGAGGGTCGTTACCAGAGCGAAACATGGTAACCACCCAGAACGAACATGCATATCAGTTTCGTGCAAGGCTTCTACTCACATGTGCGAGGGTGAGGAACTGGCTGGGCAGGGGGTTTAAATGAGAGGCCCATTCCGGGGGATCATATGACTGCAAAGACAAGTAACCCGATTCTGGGAACTTCCTGCTCGTGCTTCCATCCTCGTTAGAGACGCCAGCGTTAGTAGCAAGAGAATTCGTGGTGTGAGAATCCATGTTCGATGCCATTGCTCGCGGAATCCGACTACTAGAAGGCGCTGGAGAGAACCTTCTAGAAGCTGCTAGCGGAATTCCCGTGAGAAACGCACTATTAGCGCTGAATGCCCGTCCAGGAAGACTTGCGCTGTCAGAGACGGTTGTCTGTGTGACGGAATGTCGACCACTCGTGGAAGGTGGTCCTGAAAAGGCTCGCTCAGGAGCTATGGTGACTCGATTCAGACGGACGTGCGACGGGAGTAAGAATGAAACGCATACTGCGGTGCGCATTTGGACCAGACTAAGGAAGCTTGAGGAACAGGGGCCTCGTACACAAAGCACGAGAATTACCGTCCACGGATGCAAATGGGTTGATTGTGCTCTATGCTCCTTTTTACTAGTCTCAGAATTGGGAAGTCATGGCTTGTGGCTGTGGTTGAAGGCACTGAAATTTAGTAGGATTCCCAAGCTCCCACCTGGTGCAGTGAATCTGTCACAGGATCCACGTCGTGTCCTTGATATTAGCAGGGTCCACGTTTCCATATAGAGCATAAAGACAACTAGGTAGTAGGGCGAAACTGTCTGGCAGCTGAATACTGTATTTTGCCTTTCGTTAGGGTGAAACAGGCTTCTGTTTACAATCACAAAATCCACAAATTGTTCAATTTGCAGGCAATGTTCAGTGACATCCTCAGGGAAACCCAAACACAATCTTGAAAGTCGTTACAGTGCGCCACGTGCCAACCACCCGTTGAGTCAACCACTCACATTACGACACGCCAGACACGGAGTCAACATTTTCGCTGACACAATCCATAAAGTTCCCAGCAAGTGATCATTCACAGCTGGTTACCAATCTTTCCCACTTTCTCAGGAGCGCCACTAGAGAGGATGCTTCTGCTGAAGTGCCCCTCCCTCATGGTCTTCAAAATAGAGATATCTCTCCTTGTTTGAAGGATTCTACTGCAAGTCCACTTATCCATCAGATAGCACTGCGGGACAGTGCGAAATTCAGGGGATTATAGGTATTTCCCTCCATTTCCGACTGTTTGTCATTTCCTGGTCCAATCATGGCCGCCATTTCCGCGTCCAAATCAGCTGTCGCAAGCGCAGCTGCCTTCAAGCAGTGCGGGTTCTCCTCGGGAGAAAGCTTCGGAGAGCAGTCTCTGGTGCTTAAGAACACCGTCGACCTCAAGAATAAGAAACAAGCTGCTTTGTCATGCCGAGCAAGCGTCGCTTCAGGTTGATTACTCGTGACCCTCCCCTAGTCATCGCTTTTCTTCAGTCAAAGAGCTCTTCATCGCAGAGTCTCCCTCACATACGCTACTTGTCGCCTCCATGTGGTCTTTTTACAACGATCACGCGGCACAAGCATTCTTCTAAGTTCTCTCATTGTGAATTCGTGCAATTGCAGAGACCGTGAGCGCTTCCTCTCCTGCGTCGACAGAGGATCCCTTGTTGCTGAGGGCCGTCAGGGGCGAAAAGGTGGAGAGGCCTCCAGTCTGGCTCATGAGGCAGGCTGGCCGGTACATGAAGGTAAAACACTTCTGCAATTAATATATCAATTCATCATATGAGTGATGATCACAATACCTTTATTTCCTTTCATATTGCGAGCCATTGATGATAGTTCCGACGTTTGTTTCCGCGTTCAGGTGTATCAAGACCTGTGCAAGAAGCACAAAACTTTCAGAGAGCGCTCTGAGAATGTCGACCTCTCGGTCGAGATCTCTCTCCAGCCGTGGAGGGCCTTCAAGCCAGACGGAGTAAGGACAGAGAATTCAGTATTTCGAATCATTCCTTTCGAATGGTCGTTCGTCTACAGCTTTTCCTGTTGGTGGATTCTCATGATAGTTTTCTTTGTGTTGTCTTCTCATGGATGCAGATCATCCTGTTCTCTGACATTTTGACGCCGCTGACCGGAATGAACATTCCGTTCGACATCGTTCCCACTAAGGGCCCGATCATCCATGACCCTATTAGGACTGCCGCGGATGTCGCCAAGGTGCAGCCTCTGGACCCCGACACGGCGTTGCACTACGTCGGCGAGACCCTCCAGATTCTCCGGAAGGAGGTGAGCATCACATGCTAGATGGAATGTCCAGAAATTAAGCAGCCGCGTGTCCCGTCTCCTTCCGTAACCCTATTTACATCCCGCTTCCTTCGCACATAACGAGTCGTTGAGCAAGGCATACATTTGGAACCATATACCTCGTTACCGTCTCCGCGGGTTTATCCATCGTATACTCCGTGGTGGTAGCAACCACGAGCGCAATGCAATTCATGACCCAGGAAACCCAAAAATGAAAAAAAAAAAAAAAAAAAGTTTTGACTGACGCATTGTTCAATTTAACGATTTCACAACAGCATTTTTACAGACGCGACATTGCTGGCTCTCACATTTTCACTCTGACTTCCGTCTCTCCCTCTCATCCACGTTCCGTTTGCAACACTGTCTCTGACTTACTCGACCTGTTTACCCTGCATGAATCGTTGTACACCGTGCTTTCCTCTGCAGGCTGCAAACCAGTCAACTGTCCTCGGTTTCGTGGGTGCTCCCTTCACAATGGCGTCGTACATCGTGGAGGGTGGCTCGTCCAAGAACTTCTCCATCATTAAAAGGATGGCGTTCTCAACCCCAGAGGTGCGGATAGCTGGCATTTGACAGGCTCAACGTTACACGGTACCAAAAGCTGCAGGTTGCGCAATTGAAAGCCCTTCCCGCAACGTAGTAACCTAGTTTTGTCACGTGGCCTGGCCCTTTGAGTTTTTTTTCTGTGACATTTCTTTACCAAACTTTCTGTGTTTGTGTTATTTCATCATTATCCCTGCAGGTGCTGCACGCACTGCTTGCCAAGCTGGCGGAGTCCACTGTGCGCTACATGCGCTACCAGGCAGACAATGGTGCTCAGGCCATACAGATCTTTGACTCTTGGGCCACCAGCCTTTCTCCTTGCGGTACGCCCTTGTGTTTCCCCAAAAAGGTTTCTTACAGTTCTTTTGGTAGTCAACAGCAGCGTTCCAGTCTGTTTTTGTCACATTTGTGTGTCACAGGTGATGTGCTGCTTTTTTTTATTCTGGCTCATCGGGTGACATGCTTATGTGTGTGCGTGTATTTGTGTGATTTGGTTGACAGACTTCGAAGTCTTCAGTCTGCCATACATCAAGCAGATTGTGGCTGAGGTGAAGTCCACCCACCCTGACCTGCCGATCATCCTCTATGCCAGCGGCAGTGGTGGCCTGCTTGAGCGCATGTCTAAGACCGGAGTAGATGTCGTCAGTGTGGATTGGACTGTGGACATGGCGGAGGCTCGGGAGAGGATTGGCAAGGACATTGGTGTGCAGGGTAATGTGGACCCGGCGATTCTGTTTGGTTCCAAGGAGACGATTACAGCGAGGATCCATGAGACGGTGGCCAAGGCAGGGTCACACAAGCACATTCTCAACCTTGGTCATGGTGTCTTGATAGGCACCCCAGAGGAGAATGTGGAGCATTTCTTCTCTGAGGCACTCAAGCTTAGGTATTAGTGCAGCTGGATTCAGGGTTTAGGGTTCAAGGATCCAAGCCACCTGATTTTGGTGTTATCCTGCATATCTGTGTACCATGACAGTATCCGCTCTGTAACGTTATCCATGTGTTTTGAGATAGGGCTGGGACGTTAATAAGCTAGGACCTTATAGCGAATACTGCCTGAGTTATGCTCCACCAACTTTGATCAGGTTACAAAAATAATTTCGGACAGCGCAGTAATCAACAACACCAGGTTTAGTTCGGTGGTGCACGTTTCATTACTTGTACGGCCTGTTACAGCGCGGTACTCTACGTTGATAATCCACGTGTCAGAAGACGTCACGCTCTTTTTAGTCACGTATCAGTGACGATCCCCAGCCAATCAAGTTCAAGCGGAAAGAGTCGTATTTTTCGGGTCGGGTACAACAAATCCACCACCAAGGTTTCAAAACTCGAAAATCAAATCCACCACCCATCATTATTGATTTGGCTACTTGTACTAATTTTCTCCCATCATCCAGGTCAGGTGTCAGCCATTATCTAGCTCAGGCTCTTCTGATACAATCATTGGAGCTCAGCTTCCGCATTTCACGCTTTCGTGTACCTCCCGGTAGATTAGAACGGACTAGAGAGGATGGTATGCTGACTTACTGGTGAGAACTCCCAGGTCTGCGATCGCATTTCGGAGTTTTAGTTATCTCCGTGTCGGCTGGCACCTCCTTTTCGAATTAGTCACGTTCTGGAAGCCTGGCCACTCGAAAGAAGACCTCTTTCGTGCACTCGGCAGGCCGGATCGTCGTTCCTCTCTACGTTTTTCTAATCCCTTCGAATTATCCAACCATCAGGTATGGTGAGACTCCGTCGGCTCACTTCTCAAGACAGCTTCACACAGCCGCCACCTGTGCAGTTGAAACTCCTCTTGTAGGATGCGAATTCGTCGGAATTAAAGGACGTGGGATCCGTCGGTGCACAATACCTAGGGTTCCACCTTGCCCCTTTCCAAGCTTGAAAATTTACCCTTGAAAATCGGCCAAGTCACTTTTCAGGGCTCCAGCATGTTCAGTAGATCAATCCGCTGTATTAGGACCAGGAAAATCCCGATGCAGGCCGTCAGTGGTTGAATGTTCTCTTTCTTGAGATTACACGCTACTCGATTTCGTCTCGCACTGCTCCCCATTGCTGCAAGTGCACCAACAGGCCGTCAGCGGTTGAATTCCGTTGCCTTGAGATTACACGCCACTCAGCCCATCTCTGCTCTCCACTGCTCCCCACCGCTCCCCACCGCTCTTCACCGCTCCCCACCGCTCTTCACCGCTCCCCACCGCCCTCCACCGCATCCACTGGACCAACCACACCCATCATGGGAGCTGTACCCCCCGGCCTCGCCCTAATTCAGTACCTGCACCGCCGACGAAGCTCCCGCCATTACACCACCGCTACATTCACATCCGCTCCTTTCACATTCTACGGCCAGCAGACCTCCGTCCTCGTTTTAACCTTCCTCGCTTACGCGCTCTTCCACGCCACCCGGAAACCCCCCAGTATTGTTAAAGCGGTTCTGAATCCGCTACCCGCGGCCCCTCTCGCGTCCCCCGCGTTTCCCAACGAAATTCCCGCCGCGAACCCCCCGCCTTCATCCACGCAAGGGTTGCCGAGATCGCCGCCGCCAAACGCGGCGCATTTCCCGCCTCCCCCACCGCCTGGGAGAAAGACCATAGAGGTTGGCGCCGGCGGTAGGGTCTATGGGGTCTATAGACCGGACACGACGGATTCGGGATTGCACAGCAGTATCGCTGAAAATAGTGTTCCAAAGGACTATGCTGATAGGGAGAGAGGGCAGCAGGCTTATAACAAGGATGAAGTGCAGAGAAGCGGTGATGAAAGGATGGAGGGTGGAAGGCGATTGGAGGAGGTAGGGGACGGCAGGAAGGGAATGGAAAGGCGGAAATTGAAGCGGTTTGTAGGTTTATGGCGAAGGGAGTTACCTGGTGGCGATTGGCGATGGGATGCTGGCGATGGGCGAAGAGAGTTACCCGTTGAGGCTGGAATGAAGAGACAAGAAGCAACGAAAAGTGCAAGCACATTGGGACCTGTGCAAGCCTTTGGGACCAATACCACTGGATCAGCAGCATCAGGAGCAGGAGCAGCAGGAAACAGCAGCTTATCAGTTCAAGTTGGGAAAGTAGCAGAAGCAGCGAAGGCCGCAGCGGGGGCAGCAGCAGCAGCAGCAGCAGCAGCAGGGGCAGCAGCAGGAGCAGCAGTCGATGCAGCAGGAGCAGCAGGAGTAGCAGCAGCAAGAGCGTCAGCCGCAGCAGCTGGAATAGACTCTTCTAAAGGCCACCATTCTGGGCTAAACACCAATGGATGGGCTCCCTTTAACGGGACTAACGGCCAGGCGCTCCTAGGGGAACTTGATGTGGCATTTTTGGCTTCTTATGCTGCAGGAATGTATGTCGCCGGTTCTTGCGGGGACAGAATGGATTTACGGGTGTTTCTTTTTGTCGGAATGCTCGGTTCCGGCGTCTTCACGTGCTTCTTCGGAGTGGGGTATTTCCAGGATATACACTCTCTGGGGTATTACCTCGTCATTTCGGTGTTTGCGGGGGCGTTTCAGTCGATCGGGTGGCCGTGTGTGGTTGCTATTATGGCACGGTGGCATGGGAAAAAAGGCCGGGGCTTAGTCCTGGGTATGTGGAACGCGCACACCTCCTTTGGGAACATTTTAGGCTCGCTATTAGCTGCTGCGTCTCTCGCTTCTGGCTGGGGCTGGGCGTTTCTAGTTCCCGGAATAGCGATAATTGTAGCGGGATTTGTTGTGTTACTGTTCCTGCCGCCCGGCCCAGAGGAACTGGCGTTTGAATCACCAGAAGAGGAGGAGGAGAAGGAGGTGGTGGTAGAAATGGCGATGGTAAGTGGAGGGGTGGTGGGGATTGGAGGAGAGAGAGTGAGTGTGGGGCCTGGTGGGGTTCTGTATAGCCCTGTGAGTACAAAGGATGCTGGAGGAGTGCGGAGCGGTGCAAATGATGTCAGTAGCGGTGCTCCCGGTGGTGCTGGTGGTGCTGGTAAATCAGTGGCAGGTGAAGCATTTGTAGGTGAAAGAACAGCGGGAAGAGACGAAGACAGAAGAAGAGGCCAGTTAAGAGAAGGAGAAGGCGAAAAGAGAGACTCAGCAGCAATTGCTCTCAGCCAGAAGCCAGCAATAGAAGGAATCCCAGCAGCAGAACCCGGGTTACCACGTGACGGTGGTAGCTCAGCAACATCCGCTTTATCCAACCATGTGTTTACTCCACAAAACGGGTCCTGCATTAACGAGGATGGGGGAGCCAGATCCCCTCCTCCCAAGCTACGCCTTCCCCCAAACCAGCACCAGCAGCAGCAGAAAGACGTGTCAACATACGACGACGATAGTGCCGGGTTGCTAGAAGAACTCGAGACAGCAGCCGCATCAATTGCCCACATGCGTTCAAGAGCCAATGGCAGCAGCGGCGGCGAAGGGGGTGATCGCGCGGTGGGGTTTCTGGAGGCGTGGCGGATCCCTGGCGTGGCAGCGTTTGCCCTCTGCTTGTTCTTCGCCAAGCTGGTGGCCTACACCTTCCTCTACTGGCTCCCCTTCTTCATCAGTCGCACGGGTGAGCTTAGCGGCAGGGGGAGGGGGAATGGGAGGGGTAGGGGGAGGGGGACAATGACAGGGTGATCGCGCGGTGGGGTTTCTGGAGGCGTGGCGGATTCCTGGCGTGGCAGCGTTTGCTCTCTGCTTGTTCTTCGCCAAGCTAGTGGCCTACACCTTTCTGTACTGGCTCCCTTTTTTCATCAGCCGAACGGGTGAGTGTCAGACCAGACCCGTGCAGGGAGAGGGAGGGGGAAGGGGGGGACAAGGAGGGGGACGGGTTGGGGGTGCGGGAAAATAGAGGGGGGATCGAGCAGTGGGGTTTTTAGAAGCGTGGAGGATCCCTGGTGTGGCCGCGTTTGCTCTGCCTCTTTTTTGCTAAGCTGGTGACATACACGTTCTTCTACTGGCTGCCCTGCTTCATCAGCCGAACAGGTGGGCTCAGAGCACTTGGTAAGAGAGACTCTGCTGTCTCCATGTGTAGACAGACACTTCAAGCTGGTGACATACACGTTCCTCTACTGGCTGCCCTGCCCTGCTTCATCAGCCGAACAGGTGGGCTCAGAGCACTTGGTAAGAGAGACTCTGCTGTCTCCATGTATAGACAGACACTTGAAGCTGGTGACATACACGTTCCTCTACTGGCTGCCCTGCCCTGCTTCATCAGCCGAACAGGTGGGCTCAGAGCACTTGGTAAGAGAGACTCTGCTGTCTCCATGTGTAGACAGACACTTCAAGCTGGTGACATACACGTTCCTCTACTGGCTGCCCTGCCCTGCTTCATCAGCCGAACAGGTGGGCTCATAGCACTTGGTAAGAGAGACTCTGCTGTCTCCATGTGTAGACAGACACTTCAAGCTGGTGACATACACGTTCCTCTACTGGCTGCCCTGCCCTGCTTCATCAGCCGAACAGGTGAGCAACAGAGCACGATGCAAGTAGAGGTGATTCTGCCTTGCTTCTCAAGAAGGCCTTTTCTGCCCTGCCGTGAACTGCTCTCCCACCAGAAATTGAGGTTCGGTACGCCTCTGACGCCCAACCCGGCATCATGTCTACAGTGTTCAGCCTGGGAAAGAGTAGGCGTCTCTGGCAGTGCTCTCCTGCTCTGCCTCGCCACGCTCCCTGCCCACCACTGTCCCCCCTCTACTGCCCTCCCCCCCCCCCACCAGAAATCGAGGGGCGCTACCTCTCTGACGCGCAATCCGGCATCATGTCTACAGTGTTCGACGTGGGCGGCGTGGTGGGCGGCATTTGCGCCGGCCATCTCGCCGACCAAACCGCCGCCCGTGCCACCATTTCAGCTTCTTTCCTCCTCCTCGCCGCCCCGGCTCTAGCCGCCTATTTCCTCCTAGGAGGCCTTGCCCTCTGGGTGAATATCCTCCTTTTAAGTCTCTCTGGTGTGCTGGTTAACGGCCCGTACGCGCTTATCACTTGCGCAGTGTCTGCCGATCTCGGGCAGCATAAAAGTTTGCAAGGGAACGCCCGAGCGCTGGCTACAGTAACTGCAATAATTGACGGGACCGGATCGGTTGGAGCAGCATTGGGACCATTTATAACGGGTTTTATATCTCAATTAGGAGGGGGTGGAGGGGGAGGAGGAGGAGGGGGTTTGAGTGGGTGGGGTGCGGTTTTTGTGATGCTGGGAGTGTCCCTGGTAGCTGCTGTCTTGTGTATTGCACGGTTAGTTGTGGAGGAAGTTAGGGGGATGGTGGAGGGGCGACGAGGGTCCGCGGTTGGGCGGCAAAGTTTGGAGCAAGCAGCTTTGGAAAGAAGACCACTGCGACTAGAAGAAGGTAAGCTCTCTATGGTGGTGTAACCATACCACATATGGTGGTGTAACCATACCACATATGGTGGTGTAACCATACCACATATGGTGGTGTAACCATGCCACATGCGGGAACCATACCATATGTAGAAACCATACCATATGTGGGAAACGTACCATATGTGGAAACCATTCTATAAATGGGAACTACACCATATGTGGGAACTTTACCGTATGTGGGAACCATACCATTTGTGGGAACCATACCATATGTGGAAACCATACTATATGTGGGAACCATACCATTTGTGGGAACCATACCATCTGTGGGAACCATACCATCTGTGGACACCATACCATGTGTGGGAACCATTGCATCTGTGGGAACCATACCATCTGTGGACACCATACTATATGTGGAAACCATACCATATGTGGGAACCATACCATTTGTGGGAACCATACCATCTGTGGGAACCATACCATCTGTGGACACCATACCATTTGTGGGAACCATACCATCTGTGGGAACCATACCATCTGTGGAAACCTTAGTGTACGTGGGAACCATACCTTTGTTGGAACCATACCATACCATACCATACCATACCATACCATACCATACCATACCATACCATACCATACCATACCATACCATACCATACCATACCATACCATACCAAACCATACCATACCAAACCATACCATACCATACCCTGTTTGCAAAGTCTTCGTTATCCGCCAACCTTGTCGATTGCATGAGGATTCTCTGTCCCGTGCGTCTTCGGTTTCGATCTTACCCTCTCCTCGCAGTGCAATTGTATCCTTGTGTGCTTGTGCAGGAGGCTGACTGAGCCGGCGTATTGCTGGTAATACCGGTATGAAGCGCAACATTTTTGCACCGTGGACAACTTGCATTTGAAATTTATTCGGCCTTCCAAAGAGCGAAGCAGCTATGAAGTCTAGTTTCTTAAGCCGGAACACAGCAGCCATTTGCACCTGCAATTTTTGCTGCCCTTTTGCTGATGTCTGTCCCGTACCGTAAATGTAATGTGGCAATCGATAAAATCTTTATTCTTGTGCGCTTTGACCTCCCAATACAATAAGACCCACCAGAACCAGTTACTTCTGTTGCTCGCAGGGAACGTAATCAAGGCACAACCCAATTGTAAGCGACTTATTCATAACTTCGTTTAAAATATTATGAATACTCTATGAGCGTACACTATACCTGACCGAAGTTCGCTTACAGGGGGTTATGTCAAGCTTGAAACGGAGTAACGGATGGACGAGATGTCCCGCCCGGACGGATAACGACGGAGTAACCGCCACTCGACGTTTTTCACTGTTGCGTCTCATGTTTCTTTCCGCGACGTTACCCTTCTGCTTGGTTTCGTCACTCCTATCGCGAACCCGAAGGACAAGTACTGTACTCGTTCGCCAATGCACCAGCTGAACAAAACCGCAGAGCAGCTGAACTTCCAGTTGCGACGCGCAGAATCAAAACAGGCACGCTTCTGTTTCATCGCGCCTCGTTTTGTCGCGATACATTGTCGGCGCTGGCGAACTCAGTAACGAAGAAAACAAGACTTCGTACCAAATCCACAACTGCCCCACCCTTCAAGCGAAAATTTGAAACTGACACATTTGCGCAAGTCTTCGCACCGCTGGTCGCAGACGTTAGCGGGATACTGGCTGGGGATTGGCTGTGGAAGGCGCAAAAGGGACTGGTGGGGCAGGCGTGGGATGCTGGCTGCGTGGCATGGTGCCAATTGGCGGATTGTGTGCAATCCATCGCGCGACGCGAGCCACGCCAGCACAACTTCCGCATTGTGGGGGCTAGGGGGGGGGGTGGGGCGCACCCTTTGGGTGGCGCGAGTTGCGCAGCGGTGAACACGACGAGAGGCGCATTTTATTTGGCTGGCTAGCATTTCCCGTGAAGGCTGCCTGCCAGCCACACTGCCACTGCAAACTTCCCTCAGCATTTCACTTGCTGAATTCAGCTGGCCCCTTCCCCATTCCGCGCCTTTCCTTTCCCCGTTCAATCCCCCGCATTCCTCCCGCTTCCCCGATTCCCCCCAATCAACCATTTTCCCGGTTTCCCCCATGCGCGGTGTGTCTCCTCCCTCGATCGATCCTGCGCAAGATCGATTTTTGGTCTGGTTTAGAAAGGTTCAAAAAGTTATTTCTTGCAAAACGCAGGATTTTAGTGCGGTGGAAGATCGACATTCCTCAATTTTGCACGATCAATCGAGGTAGGGGACGCGCCCTGACCCCTACCCAAACACTCCCCTCCCCCTTCCCCCCCCCCCCAATCCTTCATTTTCCTCATTTCCCCCTTCGACGTTTCTCAAATTGCGCCGGATCGCGATTCGCAAAGCAGTCAAACCCAGCTGGAGAGTGGGGGGGGCTAGGGACTTTTACCTGAGGACGCCCCTCGATTGCACGGACGGTCTAAAACATCGGGCGATCGTCGCGTGGTCGGCCATTTCTGACGATAACTGCAGCTGAATGCCAGCAGTCGGTAACGACAAGGTCAGCTGAAAGCAAGTTGAAAGGAGAATTCGCGGGGCAGAGCTTGTTGTGAGTGTGGCGAGAAGAGACTCCAGAGGAAATTAGAGACCCTGATCCCGAACAGAACGTCAGGAAATAAGATACTACTAATTGCTTGACCTTGCGCAGACGTTCTTATCCATGGTGACCGTCTTTCGACGTCGTAACACATTTCTTCACGCGCGGACTTCAAGCTAGGTCTCTCCACACTTCTTCAAGTCCCAGGCTCCACTCAGTTACATAGGAGCAACTTTGCGGAAATATGCGGGAAGGGCAACAGAGGACCAAGCCCCTTACTCGCGAGACGCACGTGAACAGTCGAGTCTTATAGAAACTGTCGGAGCCTCTTGCGAAAAAAAAAGGAGGATCATCGCGTTATCATTTCTCTCTTCACGGCACTATCTCGTTGCGCGAATCGCCCACACGCGTCATGGGTTGCTACTCACCTTCTCAAACCGTTCCCAGGTCTTTCGAGCCAAGCACAGTCCAGTCAATCACAGCCGAGCCAAAAACCTCTGAGCCAATCACAGTGGACGTTTTCCCCGCGGTGTTTCTCGAGCGCGATTACGAGTTCATGGGGGAGATCGGCAGCGGACAGTACGGCAAGGTCTGGAAGTGCCGGTCGCGCCTAACAGGCCGGCAGTTCGCCTGCAAACAGGTCAAGAAGCGGCCGGCGCGGCCGGCACGGTCGGGACGGGGACAGCAGGCACGGAAGGATTCTGCGCAGCGGCGAGCGCGAGAGAAAAACGGTGGGATATCCGGCGCGGATGGCGCGGCGGGTTCAGGAGATGACGTGGACCCGATTGAAAGGGAAATCGCGGCGCTGACTCATTTGGAGGGTTGCGAAGGCGTGACGACACTGCACGGCGTGTTCGAGGACGCCACGTCGGTTTTCCTCGTTATGGACTTGTGCGATAGTGGCGACCTGTTCTCGCTTATCGCGGACACGGACGGAGTTCCCGAGGACGAATCGCGTCAGCTGTTTGCTGATGTGGCACGGGCGGTGAAAGAATGCCATGACAGGGGCGTGTTGCATCGCGACATAAAACCCGACAATGTCCTCCTCTCTTTGCGCGAGACTACTACAGCTACGGGTAACCCCGAAATTGCGGGGTTGGACTACAACTACCCCTCGCCTACTAGCAACACCTCCTGGACCTCCGCCGCGCCGTTATTTCACGGTTTCCGCGCTACGACGGCGCTCGATCCGTCGGCGAGTCGCCGGCGGTACGACGTGAAGCTAGCGGACTTCGGTCTGTCCGTGATTCTAACGGGGGGCGGGCGCGTGCGCGGGTACGCGGGGAGTTTTCCGTACGAAGCACCGGAGGTGGTTGGGTTGAGAGAGTACAGTTTCGCAGCGGATATCTGGAGCATGGGCGTGCTTTTGTACGCGTTATTGTCTGCGAACTGGCCCGAGTTCAAGAACAGGCAGGCGCTTAACGAGGAGACGGACTGGACCGGTGCGTCATGGGATCAAGTGTCGGAGGATGCGAAGGATCTCATCCGTCGGTTGCTGACGGTGGATCAAGATCTACGGCCCACGATAGATGAGGTGCTGAGGCACCCGTGGGTGGCGCCGGCGACCCGCGTTGACCGCGCCGAAAGCGTTGACTCCGTTGACTGCGTTGACCGCGAGAAGGGGACAAAATTGAAACAAAATCAGTCGCTTCTTCCGCCGCTCCTCATCCCTTCCCAATCGCTAGATTCCCGCGAGTCTTCCTCCCTCGAGTCGGCTTCGTCCATTCCGTCAGAAGCTTCGTTCCTCTCCGCGCTTGCCGCCACCCCAGCTTCTCTCCCCACGCCAACGGCTACTTTTGCTTGCCGCGGCGCGACGTATCTGGCGAATGAAAGGAGCCACACGATCGGCGCGGTTACGGGAGGATCGGCGGGGATCCGCAGTAACTGCGCCAGCCGCGGGAGTAGTAGCGCTTCGGAGACCCTCCCTGTCAGTGACAATAACGGGGCGTGCGATGTGCCTGAGGCGTCGTGTGACTATATCGAGGGGTGCGGACTGAAAGGGCGTAACCCTAAATGTAACCCAAAGAGGACGCATCAACGGCTGAAAAAACGAGGATCCGCGGAAAACGCAGGCGGCGGCGACGAGACACGTGGACCAATCGCGACTGAGGAGGAACGGAGGTGCTTTTCTGAGCCCAGCCGCGGGAGTCACGGGGGAGAAGAGGAGAAGGACTCTAGCAGCGGAAGCGCCAGGAGGGGAAGCGCCACTAGCGGAAGCGCAACCGGCGTAAGCGCAAGTGAACCCCGTAACAAGGATAACTACGGAAGAGCAGGTTCCCCGTTAGCGCGACGCGGGTCGATCAAAGGGTACGCGGCGCAGGTGGTGTCTAGTCTGAGATGGCAACCCGGCTGCTTCTATTCGACCGCCGAAGCCGTGGCTCCCGAGGCAGCCTCCGACGACACCGCCGCTTCCTCCGCCGCAACTACCGCCGCAACTTCCGTCACTTCTGCCGCGGTGCTTCCCGCTACCGATTTTGGAGCCTCTAAAAGTGGAACCGCGGAAACCCAAACGCAAGCTGCTAAGGGTAAAGAGACCGCGGATATGGATATTTTGCGGGCAATGGAGGCACATCTATCCGCGTTTTTTATGACGAAGCAGACTAAGAAGTGTGCTTGAAAATAATGTAAATACGAGCTTTACAATTTTGATTATTAGTAAAAAACGTTAAACCACTGCAAATCTGGCTTTACTTCTACTGTTGAAGAAATTCTCTCAAGGAAAGAGGGAAAGCACCTTTTCTAATCAAGCTAGACATTAGCATGTATGTGCACTGTAGCAACATTTGCAATTGTCATAACCGTTTTACCATCACTGAAATTACTTTCGAAGGTAAGACTCGTCCAATTGCGCATAGTGCAGTGACATGGCAATATGAACATGTACAACACTACAGTAAAAATGTAGACTCATTTTACAGCTGTTACTCATCATCGTCGTCTGAAGACTCGTCGCTGAAATCACTTTCAAAGTCAGACTCGTCCAAATCAAGCTGTTGGGGGGGCAATGTGGGGTGGGGCAACGGGGAGGCAGCGGTGGGGGGGGAAAGGGGGAAGTGGGGGAGGAGAAATAAATCACTCTCAGGGCGTGTTCCTACACCTCATATCTGACACACCTCGTATCAGCTTTGCGTGGTTAAATACGTTTTGGTGTGTTCGACTGTGGTTGGATGCGCTTAGAGCGGTTCGATGCGAATCTGATATGAGGTTGCCTGACAAGAGGCTGTAGGAACACTCCCTCAAAGTCAGACTCGCCCAAATCAAGTTGTGGAGGGGAGGCGGAAAGGGGGGGGGGAAGATGGGGGGCAATGGGGGGAAGTGAGGGAAGGGGTGAGGTGATTCACTCTCAAAATCCAGACTCGTCCAAATCTAGCTGTTGAAGGGGCAATGGGGAGGGCAGGGGTGCTGTGGTGGGGGAAGAGAATTGCTTTCAAAAACAGTTGTCCAGATCAGGCTATACGGGGGAGATTGAGGCTATCACAGACAGAAACCAAGGCTGGATTAAACTGAAACTCGTATTTTGAGTCGACTCAAAACAGAGTTGTCCAAATCAGGCTATACAGGAGATTAAGGCTATCACCGACAAAAACCATGGCTGAATCAGACTGAAACACACTCTGCTGACGCGTCCCATCCAGCAGTTGTTTCTTTGACTGCCTGTATGTAAATAGGAAAGTGGCTCGTACCTGCACGTGTGCCACTTGAAACGTCCCAGGCGCAGCAGGAGCAGCTGGAGCAGGGGGCAAGGCCATAGCAGCAGCACCAGCACCAGCACCAGCACCACGGACACCTGCTGCTGCCCCTGCTGCTGCTGCCCCTGCTGCTGCTGCCCCTGCTGCTGCTGCCCCTGCTCTTTCCTTTCCTGCTGCCCCTTCTTTCCCTGCTCCTGCCCCCCCCACTGCCACTGCTGGGGGCCGGATAACACCTTCCCCAGGTCCCACCACCATGCCAGCCACAGCAGCAGCAGCGGCGGCAGGCACGCTCGGGGGAGGTACATCTGAGGGCGGTGCACCTGCTGCCACTGGCAGGGGCACAGCGGGGGCGCCTGGTAGGGGGAGGGGTATGGGATCCCCCGGTTTCCACCCTGCAGGCATGGTGGGAAGAGCGGGCATGGGTACGGCTGGGGGAATGGATGGAGTAGGCAGCTGCAGCAGCGGCAGCAGCAGCAGCAGGAGCAGCAGCAGCAGCAGCAGGAGCGGCGGCAGTAGCGGTGGGGAAGGTGGGGAGGGGGTCTCCAGGTTTCCACCCCGGAGGTGGGGGAGGGAGGGGGAGGGGGTCTCCTGGTTTCCACCCAGCCGGCATAGGAGGAGGTACCCCTGCTGCTGTCCCCCCTGCTGCTGCGCCTGCTGCTGCTTTTCCTGCTGCAGCGGCAGCAGCGGCGGCGGCAGCAGCAGCAGCAAGGTCTGGGATGGAAGGGAGGGGGTCCCCTGGTTTCCACCCAGGCGGGGGAGGAGGTAAGCCCACTGGCACCCCTTTTCCTGCTCCTCCTGCTGCCGCCGCTGCCGCTGCCGCTGCCGCTGCTGCAGCAAAATCACCCTCCCCTGGTTTGCCTGCGGCCTTCCCAGCCGCAGCAGCAGCAGCAGCCGCAGCAGCGGCGGCAGTGGGAGGAGGCCGAGGGCTAATAGGCCCTGATTCCCCTCCTTCCACCCCACTCCTCCTCTCCTTCCCACTCTCCTTTCCCCTCTCCTTTTCCCGCTTCTTTTCCTTCCGGATAATCCCTAGGGCCTTCTCATCTGTACAGTGGTACAGGAGAGACATCCGAAGCTGTTCATCCTGTGGCGCAGGGGGAAGGGCAGTGAGGAGAGGTGCACCTAGGGCGTGTTCGGGAGGCGCAAAGGTCGTGTAGCTGATGCAATGCGCGAATGCGATGAGCTGGCGAACTGAGACTGGCGCCACTTCGTCCCAGCCCAAAGGTTGGAATGATTCTTGGTGCTGCTGCTGCTGCTGCTGCTGTTTCTTTCGTCGCAGGAGAGAGGGAGAGCGAGAGCGCGAGACAGAGTGAGAACGAGAACGGGAGAGGGAACGAGAGCGCGAACGAGAAGGAGAGGCAGACCCCTTTTGTGTCTTTCGTCTCTGAAGAGAAGGAGAGCGAGAACGAGAATGGGAGCGAGAACGAGAGCGAGAACGAGAATGGGAGCGAGAGCGAGAGCGAGAAGCAGAAGGAGAACCAGGCCCTTTTCGTTTCACTCTCGTTCTCTTCTCCTTAGCTCCTGTCCCAGCCTTTTCTCCCAAATCCCCCTCATCCTGCTTCCTCTTTCCCTCTACCCCGCTTCCCCCTGCTACCCCCCTCTCCTCCTCCCCGCCCTCCCTCAACCCCTCTTTCCCCTCCTCAGACTCCCCTTTCGCGCCTCCTCTGCCCCCCTCTCCCAGCAGCTTAAAGCCCTTGTGTTCGTCTAGCACAGCCAGAAGCAACTGCTCTGCTTCCCTCGCCCTGCGCCCAAACTCCCTTAAAGCCTCGTTCGTGCGACCCAGTTCCTCTCTCATCTTTGCTTTTCTCTCTTCACCTCTCTGCTCCTCATTGTGTCCTTCCATGCTCGGCTTGCCACCCTGTAGGACAATAAGAGGGGGAAAGGCGGAAGGGGAGGAATTGGTTTGCCGCAGCTCCTCCCTCATCTTTGCTTTTCTGTCTTCACCTCTCTGCTCCTCATTGTGTCCTTCCATGCTCGGCTTGCCACCCTGCAGGACAATAAGAGGGGGAAAGGCGGAAGGGAAGGAGGGGCATAAGGGAAGGGATTGGTGCGACCCAGTTCCTCTCTCATCTTCGCTTTTCTCTCTTCACCTCTCTCCTCCTTTGTCTTGTGCTCCTCCATTCTTGGCTTGCGACCCTGCACAGCAAGATGGGGAGGGGCGGAAGGGAAGGAGGGAGGGACGTGAGATTGCTCGCTCTGTTCTGCTCTGCTACTCTCGTTAGCTCTCTGCTCCCATCCCACATCGTGATCTTCCTTGTCTTGTGCTCCTCCATTCTTGGTTTGCGACCCTGCACAGCAAGATGGGGAGGGGCGGAAGGGAAGGAGGGAGGGGACATGTAATCATTTGCTCTGCTCGGCTCTGCTTCCCTCGCCCGCCGCGGTGCGTGGAAGGGGGAACGGAATCACGCACCCTCTCTGAGCTAATCAGCGTTCTTACCCGAACAGGATAATATACGCGAAAGAGATTCTCCGTTTTTTTAGGCGCCTCAAAAATAATATACGCGGAAGAGATTCTCCGTTTCAGGCTCTGATTCAGGCTCCTTCCGTTACATGCCTCCTCCGTTACGACATTGGTTATGTCAGAAGCTCACTTTGATTAAAAAAAAAAAAAAAAAAGGTAAATCTCTTCGAAACCAAGAGGCGCGCTTCGGACACCCTATCTCCTTCTGTCACAATAACGGGGTGAGAGATGTGCCTGAAGCTAAGTGTGACTGTACGGAAGGGTGCGTTCTGCAATGACGCAACCCTAAGTGCGTAATTTATGTCGTCTCTCGCCGGAACATTCTCCGCTTTTATCGCAAACGCACCTCCTGCTGGCGTATTAAGGAACAGCAAGAACACGGATAATGTGGAATCCCAAAATCGGAAGCCTACAGAAGTAACACGAATTTATGAGAGTGAGTTTTTTGGGGGCAGCCGAGGCGTATCGTTCAGCCTCTTTCATAGAATAGTCCAACACCTGGTACGTATTCTGGGCCGATTACTGCTCTAAAGAGTCGCGCGTTTTCAAGCTAACTACCTGCTACACGGACTTAATTTCCATGCTTTTTATTTCTGTTTTCATCGACAAAAACATCTGCTCAATGCTTGACAAGCAATTCATGAACTATAGAATTAAACACATTTAAAAACAAAAGAAAGAAAAGCATGAAAACAATAATGACCTGAATGTAAACACATGACAACATTCTACTTTCCCTTCCTGCCCTCATGGAAGGTAGGTAGCTACCAGGTAGCTGAATTCCTCCTGTGCTAAACAGTATCTAGAAAAGAAGGCCAGACTTTTCTTGCCCTCCAGCTCACGAGGCAGGAGCATGTCACTCATCACCACCAATCTCCATCTCTTTCCACTCCTCTCCATTCCTGTAAATTTTCGGTTCTTGTGCCTGTCAGCTTGGGTCTCAATTCAATCCTACCTCCTCCACTTCCCGCTGCACCCCCTGCACCCCCTGCTCCACCTGCTGCTCCTCTCCCTGTCACTTATCAAGCTATTGCGCCTGCCAGCTCACAACAAGCCATGGGACTTGTGAGTCAGAAAGATTTGACCCTGAAAATGCACCCCCTTCCACCCCTCCTTCCTCGTGCCCCTGCTCAAGTTTCAGCACCTGTGCTTGCCTGCACTGCGCCCCTAGTTGCTGCTGCATTGCTGCTGCACCACACCACCATGAGACTCATGACTCGGAAAAGTATGATCAACCTTTATAATCAACCCTCTTCCACTCCACCTTCCTGCTCCTGCCCGAGTTTCTGCACCTGTGCTTGCCTGCACTGCCGCTCCTCATAGCTGCTGCATTGCTGCTGCAGCGGCACACCACCTGCTTTCTCAGGCTTATTTCGAGTCCGAGGCTTATTTCACAGCACCTAGAGCAGGAGACACCACCAATCAGAGTGCTGCCGCTCCTAGTAATCACCACCAATCCCTGTTGACTCCCCCCCTTAGTTTTGCCTCTCCATCTGCTCCAACCCACAACCAGAGTAGCAGCAGCATCACTAGGCGGGATCACCACAATTGGCATGAGTGCTGCTGTTACTAGCTCTTTTCCACTCAAGCCCATCCACACCACCGGCTCATGAGAACTCAAGTACCCCTGAGCGCCCCAGAGTATCCCTGAGTACCCCTGAGTACCCCTGAGTACGCCAAAGTACCCCTACTTAATCATTCGGAGGGGGCAGGGAAGGGGAACTGCTTGCTTGTTGCGCTGCTCCCCCTGCTCCACACCATGACAGCAGCAGCAGTATCAGGAGAAAAATCCCTACTATTGCCACAAGCGCTGTTACTAGCTCTCTGCCATTCAAACCCATCAGCACCACCGCTCCTCCCTCGCTCTCCTCCTCCCCATCACACTCCCTTCCTCCCCCTTTTCCTCCAGCTTTCGATCTCGGCCGTTGCTTCTTCTGGTGCAGCGACAGCTGCCAGCCAAACACCAGCCGTTGATTCTCACCTGCGTCGTCGTCGTGAGCGGATCCCTGCCGTTGATCTTCGTCCTCGTCTTCTTCTGCTAGACGCTGAGCCGGCCAATGGGCGTTCATTTGAGCGACCTGGCTGTTGTTCAATTGCAATAGACCCTGGGGTGCAGGGGAAAGGCAGGGGAGAAGCAGATGGGAAGATTAGGTGGAAGAGGAAAGTGAGGACAAAGAAGGACATGCAATCTCGCTTGCCAGTGGGCGTTCATTTGAGCGACTTGGCTGTTGTTTAATTGCACTAAACCTTGGGAAGAGCAAAGTGGAAAGAGAAGCGCACGGGACCCCGGAGGGGGAAATTGGGTAAGGAACGAGCGCGTAAACAATGGTGTTGGGGGGGGGGGGGGGGAGAGTACAGAAAAGGTGGATGAAAAGTGAAACGGAATCTCTACTTACCAGTTCCATTTCGGCCATGTCCATACGCCCGTCGGGCAACAGCCGACCCGATCCCATCTTCTGAGCATTCTCAAAAGCGACTCTAGATGAAAGGAATATGAACTCACCAGTTCCATTTCGGCCATGTCCATACGCCCGTCGAGCAGCAGCCTCCCCGCGCCCATCTTCTCCTTCTCGCCATACCAACCGCCACCAGCACCCCCCGCCGCTACACCTCCTGCTGCCCCACCTGCTCCACCCTCCCCAGGTCTTTGAATCTGCTTTAACCAATACACCAGGCACTGCCACGTCGGTTGTTGCTGCTGCTGTCGCCCACGCCGCCACCGCCGCTGCTGATGCTGCCCCCACCACCCGCCTCTGCTTCCACTGCTACAACCGGCTTTCGCGCCCGTTTCCGGGCCAAATCCGCCGGAGTTGCCTGCGCCCCCGGTTGCGCCTCCCCCGAATAGTGGTGCGTGCTCCGAGTCGGAGTGCTCACGACCTAATCGCGACCCGCCCAGCTGCGATTGGCTTGAATGTGACCCGCCTAACTCACCGCCAAATGCTTTTTGTGACGTCTCAAACGCCCCAGGGGACCCGTTATTAGCAAATGCGCTAAGGCTGGCGATATCCTCCTCTTCATCACTGAGTGAAACCCTAATCGCATCCTGCCGGACCCGCAGCCAATTATCGGATGCCACGTCAGCATCGCCGCTGCCGTCTAGGGCCCTGGTTGGGCTGCCGGCGATCCAACGGCCGAAGGAAGACACGGCGGAGGCGGAGGATGAAAAGGCGGCTGCCGCTGCTCCTGCTGCTGCGCCTGCCGCCGCGCCTGCTGCCGCCGCTGCTGCTCCTGCCGCTGCGCCTGCCGCTGCGCCTGCCGCTGCGCCTGCCGCCGCTGCTGCTGCAGCCACTGCACCAGCAGCACCTGCTAATTCTAGAGCTTCAGACTCGGCGGACTGGGAAGCAGAACTTAGGGTTGATCCTGCAGCTCCTGCTGCTACTCCTACTGCAGCTACTGCTGCTGCGGGGGTAGGAGGGGGAGATGCTGAGCTCGCTAGTACTGCGGGCGCCGAACCTACGGCTGAAACTCTGGCTGATTTTCGGCAAGGACTTCCCTTGTTATCCCCGATATTGTCGGCCCCACTAGTGCTGGTAGTAGCGCCACTGACGCTGCTGCCGTGCGCTGCTGACAGTCGTGAAACTGCTACTGCTGCCGCCGCTGCTGCTTCTGGAAGCAGCGATACGTGGCGGCGTGAGAAACGCCGCGAGGCGGCTGTCCAATGAGCTGTCGATGCCGCTGCCGCTGCTTACGTCAGTGGCACGGAAAGACGACGGAGGGGATGGGGAGACTAGAGCAAGGTTACCATTTGTTCCGATCGGAGCAACTGCTTCTGCTGCTGCTGCTGCTGCTCGGCTGGAGGCGTTAGAAGCGGCCGCTGCCAAAGCGGACGGAAAAGCGACTGTTATCCCGCCGGAATCCACTCCGCTAACCGCGCTACTGCTTCCGACCGAAGACCCGGACGCGACGGCGGCATCTGCGGCGGGCGAGGCGGCGCCGATCGCGGGGCGAATGACGGCTTGCACCTGCTGCAGCTGCGCGCGAATTGCGGAGACGAACTGGCGGCGCCGCTCGCGCGTTTCGTTCACGCTGGACGGCGCCTGGCCAAGCGCCTCGGCGCGCCACTCGTCGTCTCGCGCCGCGCGCTCGAAGGCTTCGAGCTGCCAGCGGAGCGTGTCGCACGCGCAGAGCATCACGAGTCGCACTCCTTCCTCGTCGACTTGCTGATCAACGGTCACTACCACCACGTCCTCGTCGTCGCCGGACCGCACCGGCCAGATGGAGTCGCCGTCGTTGTCGTTTTCTGGGTGAGTTTGCCACGTGGCCGGTTCGTCTCCGCATTCCCGGCGCTGGAGGAGAAGCTGCCATTGGTGGAAGCTCGACTGCAGCCTGAAAATACGGGAGTAGTTCAGATAGAGATAGCGAAGAATAAACATTGAGGCGCCTACAAAGGGAGATAAACTTGCCCTCAAATTATAGAAATGCAATAGGAGCTTTAAGTTCAGGAGGGAGAGAAGGTATGTGTCGTAATAGGGGGACAGCGAGAAACCTAAAACGGACCCGAAGGAAAGAGGGTGGCGACCACCATAGCAGGATCGAGAACGGACCTAACCTGGATTTAAAGAACTCATGGTCTGCGCATGGTGGCTGGACGTGGAACGAGGTAAGTCGACCGTGCACAAAAAAATTGCGACGAAAAACGCGAATCGCGAAACCATCGCGAGACGCTATCAGGACTGTCTGCGGAGTTGCGGAGGAGGTGACGAGAGAGAAAAAGAGAAGCCGGCAGACGGAGAGAGGGAGAGAGGGAAGGAGACGGACCTGTCGGCTGAGTCTTGCACCTCCTCAGCCGCTAGGAAGAGGGGGTCGGCCTGCCACGTGTACAACGTGGCGACTACCATGACTAGACGTATGCACAGGAATACTCGCGATTCAGGTAGTATTAACGACCAATTCTGCAAGAAGTTATTCGCTCTACTGTGATTCTGTACCTCCTAGGCTGAACTGAACCGAACGGTTGACTAGACCTGCTTTGGCCAACTGGCTTACGTCAGCGATCGAAGACACTCTAATCGAAGGAATTCTGGAGCCTGTCTCGCTGGCACCTCGGGAAGATCGAGCATGGAATCTATTATCGCAAAAATGTTCTTAGAAGCCTAGGGCTGTGCGAGCAGCATCGAAGTTTACAAGAACAAGGGGAGCTACTTCATTGAAGTTGACGAGTTCAGGTCAGGTCTGACAGGATCAAACAGCAGCAGCAGCATTGAAGTTGATGACGGGGCGAGAGAGACGAGACAATCAAGCAAGAACTGGCGGTGAGGCGAGAGGTGGACGGGAAGCAGCAGCGGTGGTGTGTGTGTGCGTGTCTGCGCAAGGGAGCAGCAGCACCTGCCGAGCCGAGTTCGATGGTCTGCGGAGGAGAGAGACTCGAGAGTGTGGAGAGACTCGGCTCGAGCGGACAGACTAGGTTCGAGACTCGGTTCGGGGGAGTGTGAGGGAGGCCCGACAAGGAGTCGAGGGCAGCGCGGCATATGGGTTTCTGCTCATTCGTGGTAGGTCTCGAGGCGCTGCGGCACCGAACCGAATCCGGTGGCTCGAGGCAAGCTTGTCTGAGTTTCGTCCACTTGTAGGGTGGTGGTGGCTGGGTGGCTGGGTGGTGCGGCAACTTCGGTTCGGGAATGAGGGGAGGGTGGCAGGGGGAGGTTGGTCACGTTGGAGGGGGGCAGGCGGGGGGTTAAAAGAGGGGGGAGTAGGGAGGGTTTTGGTTCGTCAAGCGCTCGGGAACGCGTCAGCCGTGCAGAGCGGAGGCGGAAGAAGCCCCGCCGACGCACTGCTGTGGAACAATGAACGCTGCCAGAAAGTCGAATTTGTAGGTTGGAGGTGGTGGTCGTTTGTTGCGTTATATATTCGGCTGGGTTCGGGCATGATGTAGACTTCGTGGTCAGCAGCTCCAAGCCACTTGCGGTTGGTGAAAGGTCGAATCAAGGCGACAGAAAAAGACACATGCGGCAGGGATAAGGATGATGGGCAGACGTCGGCCGGGAATTTCAATCCCCGAGACTGTGAAGAAACCGATTCCGAGGCATAGCCACCACGACGTCCGAGGCGCAGGATCTGTTCATGGGCCCCCCGGACTAGTTTGGGCTAAAGGCTCGGCAGATCTGGTACGGTGGCTCGGCAACTCTTGTTTGCATCACCAGCCCCACAACACTTTGACGTTTCGTTTCACTGCTGGCGCTGTAACAGCAGTCGTAGCAGTCAAGTACAATCTGACGGATTGGAGGTTTGCTCACAATCTGACGGTGTTTGGGTCACAATCTGACGGTTGACCTGCCAAACTGACGTCGTCGTCATACTTCGCAGTGACATATGCAGCTAGCTGGCCATAGCTGCATCTATTTTTGTGGCGGGCAGGGTCTTCCAAAAGTTTCCGACGCTTCCTCCTGACAACAGCGCGCACAAAGCCGAAAACCTGGTTTGGCGAGCTCTGATTGGTGTTTGGCCTTCCACGTGAATGAGATACAGTCCGACCGACATGCAGCACCGCCCACGTTGAATCACAGCTGGACGCGACATCTCCACGACCAGAAAGTGCGTGACTGGAACCTAGATTCGATATAAGAATATTACAGCACGACATGCTTGGTGTGTCCAGGAACTTCGTGGCCAGTCAACGTGAAATTTCCCTTCAAGCAACTCGATTGGCTACGCGAACGAGTTTCCCAACCCCTCTCCTGACGACAAGCGTATACTGATACTTCACACATTGTTAGGCCCGCTGGCCTAAGTCCGCTAAAGAATTAGCGGGGTCGACTAAGTCGAGGATAAAGCGCGGCGGAAGACTTTGGCGAAAGAACTACTAGCGAAATAGGCGAAGGAGTTACTGAGTAATTGAAGAAGAGTTGAATGAGAATTGGTTGATAATGCAAAGTACAAGCAAGGTTTATATAGCATGCAAGAAACAAGGTTGGAAAGTGGATTGTGGGACCAAGAATTGTAGTGCAAGAAAAGTAGAGTGCCACGTGGCACTAGAGAATCTGAGAAGATAAGGATAAGGGTGACTTGGAAAGTACTGTTCGAAATGAACAGTAAACACCCCTTTAACACTACCCCCCTCCCAAGGAGGCGCTTGCAGACTGAAGGTACGCTCGGAGGCAAGCGTTGTCGGGAGACAGCGAGGACGAAGGAACCCAGCTGTCGTCGGCTGCATCGTAACCACGCCAACGAACCAAGAAGTCGATGAAAGAGACACCCCCCTGGAGACGGCGACGGTGCCTGAGGATGCGCTGGATCTGGTAGTCGGGCTCGTCGGTGTCAACAGCTACCGGCAGTGGAGTGCGATCACGGCCCGAGAAGGTGGCGTTGGGATCGGTGTAAGGACGAAGGAGAGACACGTGGAATGATGGGTGCATGCGGAAATGAGCGGGAAGGCGAAGGCGGTATGCGACTGGACCAAGTGCGCGCTCAATGACGAATGGACCAATGAAACGTGGGCGAAGCTTGCTGTCCTGTGGCAGTCGGAGGTTGCGGCTGTCGAGAAGGACACGGTCACCAACTGAAAACGACACCTCACGACGACTGCGGTTGGTGGTGCGTGCCATGCGTGCATTTGCGAGCTCAAGGTGCTTCCTCACGTGGTCGTGAATGAAGGTGAGGTGCTGGTGGAAATTGTCCGCACGAGGGACAGTGGGTGTGAGATCGACACGAGTGGGGACATTGGGGTGCTGACCGTACAGTGCAAAGAACGGTGACATGCCTGTGGCGGAATGATGCGTGTTGTTGTAGGCGAACTCAGCCATGCTCAGCTTCTTGTCCCATGCGGCTGCGTCGTGCATCGTGATGCTACGAAGAATCTGCTCCAATGTCTGGTTCACGCGCTCAGTCTGTCCGTCTGTCTCTGGATGGTACGCAGACGACATGGCTAAGCGAGTCCCAAACAGTGCGAAAAGCTGCTTCCAGAACTTCGAGGTGAATCTAGGGTCGCGATCGGAAATGATGGAATCGGGAACCCCGTGCAGTCGAACTACGTTATCTACAAACAGCGTCGCGGCTTCCTCTGCTGTGACCTGGCCGTGCGTGGGGATGAAGTGCGCTGCTCGAGAAAACTTGTCGACTACAACGAAGATGGCGTCGTGACCCCTAACTGTGCGCGGTAATGCCATGATGAAATCCATGGTAACTACCTGCCAAGGGCGGTCGGGCGGTGGAATCGGCTGCAAAAGTCCTGCCTTGCGCTGTCGCGAGGACTTCGTACGCTGACACGTGTCACACGAGCGAATGTAATCCTCTACGTCTGCTGCAAGCCCTGGCCAGTAGTACGTGCGACTAAGCGTCTTAGCCGTCTTGTCTGCTCCGAAGTGACCTGCACTAACTACCTCATGCGCCTCTGAGAGAAGGGGCAGTCGAAGAGGGCGGTAGGCTGGAACCCAAATCCGTGTGGTGCCCTTCCGTATGTAAACACTACCCTGCACCTCTGCTCCTGCGGGCGGCTGCGGTGTGAAGTCGGGATCTACTGTGTAACCGTGCTCGAAGAGTGCTGTGAGAAGTGGATGGCCTGCAGTGACTGTGAGGCTAGCGAGCTGACAACTAGGGCGAGTGAGCGGATCTGCTGGGTTGCGAACGCCTGGCTTGTACTCTATCCTGTAGTGGAAACTCCCCTCCATGAACTCCATCCATCTAGCCTGGCGACGACTCAGCTGCGGTTGCGACTTGAGAAAGCGAAGCGAGCAGTGGTCCGTGCGTATAACACTGTCTGCCCCCTCTAGGTAGCACCTCCATACCTTATACGCATGGATGATCGCGAGCGCCTCTTTGTCGTGTATGGGATAGTTCAACTCCGCTCCCCTCAGCTTACGCGACTCGTACGCGATCGGCTGCAACCCGCGTCCCTGGTCCTGAAGAAGTACTGCTCCTATGGCCTGATCTGAAGCGTCGGTCACTACAACGTACGGGCGAGTGGGATCAGGGTACGACAGTGTCGGTGAAGACGTGAGCGACTGCTTCATCTGCTCGAACGCCTGCTGCTGCGCTGGACCCCAAACGTACTCTACGCCTTTCCGAAGTAGGTCGGTGAGTGGACTAGCGATGGAAGCGTAACCCTGAATGAAACGGCGGTAGTAATTTGCGAATCCGAGAAAGCTCTGCAACTCCTTGACTGAGGTCGGTGCTACCCAATCCTGTACCGCTGCGATCTTCTTCGGGTCGGTCCTAACGCCACTAGCGGATACGACGTGTCCTAGGAACTCGACCTCGGGAAGAAAGAACTCGCATTTCGACTGCTTCGCGTACAACTTCTCCCTCCGCAAGACCTCAAAGACCCTCTGCAAGTGCTGCACGTGCTCCTCTTTCGACTTGGAAAAGATGAGTATGTCGTCTAGGTAAACGACAACGAACGAACCTAGGAACTCGGAGAGGACGGTGTTCATAAGCGTCTGGAACGTCGCTGGGGCGTTGGTCAGTCCGAACGGTAGAACCCTAAACTCGTACAACCCTTGCTTCGTACGAAACACCGTCTTGTGCTGGTCCTCTGGAACTACACGAATCTGGTGGTAACCCGAACGAAGGTCGATCTTAGAAAAGACTCTAGCGCCCTGCACTGCATCTAGAAGATCCTCTACTCTCGGCACCGGGAATCTGTTCTTGACGGTGGCGGCGTTCAGTGCGCGGTAATCTATGCACATCCGTAACCCTCCGTCTTTCTTAGGCGCGAAAAGGATCGGTGCGGCCCAAGGCGATCTAGATGGCTGTATGAACCCCTGAACGAGAAAGTGCCTAACCTGCTGCGTCATCTCCTCTGTCTCTGCTGGACTCAACCTCCACTGCGGCTTCGCTACTGGCCTGCTCCCCGGCTCCAACTCTATTCGATGGTCGACTGCTCGGCTAGGAGGTAACCCTGGGGGCAACCCGTTAGGGAAGACGTCTGCGAACTCTGCTAACAGTGCACTCACCTCAGCAGGAAGAGTCGCCTTCTCACTAACTGCTGCGCTCCCTCCTTTCCCCTCCTCAGCTTCCACCTCCTCAAGGAAAACCGCGAAGATCCGTGCCGCTCGCTTCACCAGCTGTCGCACACGAACAGCATTGATGATCGCTGTGGATGATGTGGCCCCATCGCTCCACTGTGGCAGCTCCCGGAACTCGCCATCTACCTTGACGCTGCAGCTTCCCTGAGCCCAATCGAACTGAGTCGAAACCGTCCGCAACCAATCTCTACCGAAGATGAAATCGTAACCGTCCAGCGTCGCAGAGTCGAAGTCACGCCTAACTGTGATCGGTCCTAGCACTACGCGCAACTTGCGAATGACTGGTCCTATGTGGAGAGGCGTCCCATCTATCATGCGAGCATCTTTGAAGTTGACTGAGGAATCTGCTTCAAGATGGAGACGGCTAACTAATGAAGACGAAACGAACGAGTGGCTAGCTCCGCTATCGACGAGAATCTTAACAGGAACTCCGCGAAGCTTCCCTAGAAGCACGACTGGACGATCAACAGTGTCTACCTCGTTCTCCGTAGATGACTGCTGCGAGGCCGTCTCCTCTACGTTGGTAGACCTGGCGGGTACGGGAACCTCCACACCAGCTAGCGACCCGCTATCTACTGGCGGTTTCCGTTTCCCTGCTGTCGCTCCTTGAACTGTGGGCAGTCCCGCTTCATGTGTCCCGGCTTTTTGCAGTAGTGACAGTTCCCCCTAAATCCGTTGCGCTGTGAGCCGTCACTGTTAACTGCACCAATCTCCATGGGCGACGGTCCGTCCCTCGATCGAGCGTCGTTGATCGGTCTGTTGTATCCCCTATCGCGATCGTCACGACCCCGTCGGCTTCGTACTGCGTCGACGCGTTCTGCTGCTGCGACTACTGACTCGAAGGTGGACAACCCGTGAATCGCAATAATCTCCGCTATGTCCGGCTTCAACCCTTCGAGGTAGCGATCGCGCATCTCTGCTTCCGTGATGTCGTCTATCTCGTTGCAGATGCTCAAGAACCGTCGTGTGTACTCCTGGACGTTTCCTATCTGTCGGAAATGACGCATGCGCTTTCTAGCAGCTTCGGAGGCGTTCACCAAATCGAACCTACTTTTCAGCGCCGCTTCAAATCCTTCCCATGTCGTCGGAACCGTGGTAACACCCAAAGCTAAACTCCCTAAGCTCGAAGTTGCAGCTGCATGCCCCACGCCCTGTTGATGCCCGTCTAACTGAGCCCTCCGAACAGCAGTCTGCGTAAGTTGGCGCCACCACTCCAAGGCCGGGCCCCTCAGCAGCGTTACGGCGTACTCGATCCGCTGCTGCGCGTCCGCCTCTTGCACCCCGCTCGCGGCGAAGTAGTTGTTGAGCATGAAGAGCCACGTCCGCACGTTCGCGTCGCGCTTCCGCGCCAGTCGACGTGGTGGGTGCAGGAGTTGGTGCGGCAAGGCCATGGGGGTTAGAAGCCAAATTGCGAAGTTGTTGCATTTCGGCTCGTACCTGACGATTTTCAAACGTCAATTCTTCGAGTTGACGCATGAGCTCGGCAAGCGTGTTGCCCATGTCGTGGGGGAAAGCGTTCATGGATTCGTCCATGTTCGCTCGACGATTACAAGTCTGCAAGTCGGCACCGCGGGACGATGACGTCGTAGTCTCGTCGTCGACGGTCGCTCGTTGGAAGTCGCTCCCCGCGAAGGCTCTTGATACCAAGTGTTTGGCCCGCTGGCCTAAGTCTGCTAAAGAATTAGCGGGGTCGACTAAGTCGAGGATAAAGCGCGGCGGAAGACTTTGGCGAAAGAACTACTAGCGAAATAGGCGAAGGAGTTACTGAGTAATTGAAGAAGAGTTGAATGAGAATTGGTTGATAATGCAAAGTACAAGCAAGGTTTATATAGCATGCAAGAAACAAGGTTGGAAAGTGGATTGTGGGACCAAGAATTGTAGTGCAAGAAAAGTAGAGTGCCACGTGGCACTAGAGAATCTGAGAAGATAAGGATAAGGGTGACTTGGAAAGTACTGTTCGGAATGAACAGTAAACACCCCTCTAACATATATATTGAATTAAATAATATACACACCTTCACTATATCACACTACCTAGACAACCCTTCATGTATTGCGAGCTTCCTCAAGTGCGTCCACCTCTTCCCTCGCCACGTCTCTGCTCCAAGAACCACTGCCAAACCCACCATCATCAGTCCATGAGCTATCATATGCACCATCTAGCAAGTAATCACGACCTTGTTTCCCACTAGTACCTTTTTCCCAAAATCTATGCTTACGAAATGGACTGTGACTTGATCCTTCCCTGTATCTGTTGTCATCGCATATTGTGCTCGAATCATGTGCTTGTGGTGTATATTGACCGTTATTTTGATTATCTAGTGAACCTACACCCTCCCGGCTGTAGTGCTGATTGTGGCTCTCTCCACTTAGGCCAATATCCAGCGCATGGCTTCCCGTGCGGTTCTCCCGAACCTCATCTCTAGGTTCGGTGGTTGCTCTGGAGTGTGGTGGAGGCTTCAGGGTTGTCGAAGAGTGTGCTGTGTGGTGGGCGCCACGAGTGGTGGAGAGGGAGTGAGAGAGTGTGAGGAGAGGGGAGATTCCTGCAAGTGGCTGCTCGGCTGGTTGACTCCGTGAGTGTTGGAAGTGTGAAAGCAGTGTGGTTGACTCGGTTGACGCTTGAGTTGACTCGGTTGACTTTTGGGTCGACTCAGAAGCCATTCCTGCAGGTGGCTGGTCGGCTGGTTGGCTCTGTGAGTGCCGTGACTGTGAAAGCGATGTGGTTGACTCCAAGTTGGACTCGCCAGAAGACAGCGCCAGGTCCCCACTGCAGCACAGGGAAGGAGGAGAAGGTGGGGGGGGGGGGGAAGGAGGGGGGGGGAGGGGAGAGAAAGAGAAATGGGCCGATTTTGTATTTGAGGCGGCTCAAGAAACTCAAGGGTCTGACTCGCCAGAAAACAATTCCGGGTCCTGGGTGGAGAATCGGCAACACACCCCATTCCAGGTCCCCACTGCAACACAGGGAAGGGGTGGAGCAGGTGGGGGGAGAAAAGGGAGGGGAGAGAATGATGGGGGAGGGAGGGGGAGAGGGAAACGAGGAAAAGGCTGGCTGTGTAGTTGATGCACATTAGGGATAAGCTTAGGTTCAGACTCGCAAAATGGCCATGCTAGTTCCTTTCTGCTCACGGATCTCGCCCAAACATTGCTACTTTTGAGGCGCTTCAAAAGCAGAGCAGGTATAGACTCGGGGCCAGACTCGCACAACGTTTTTTGAGAATTCTCAAAAAGCAGAGCAGGTATAGACTCGGGGCCAGACTCGCACAACGTTAATGCTAGCTCCTGCTCTCAGATCTCATCCAAACAACCCATCAGGTGTCACTTGTAGTCGTTACATTCTCAGCAGTCTCAGCATGGACACTCGTTCTGCCTCTGGCACAGGAGGCTTGCTCGCACATATGACCTCGCCCCACCTTCTCCCTTCTCTCCTCACCTCCCTGCTCTCAGATCTCACTCACCTGTAGTCCAACCCTTGCACAGTCATCCTCAATAGTCTCGGCATTGCCGCCCGTTCTGCCTCTGGCACGGGCGGCAGCAGGGGGAACCCTAACCCCCCTGCCCCAGTCCCCTCAACCCCCATATTACTCCCCCCTCCCCCCGGGTTTTCAAATCCCTCCTCTGCTGATAAGTAAGAAGCAGGAGAGGCGGCAGCTGGGGAAGGTATATCTGGGGAGGAGTAGTGGGGGGGCGGGAAGGAGGGATGGTGGCGTCTGGGGGTGTGGTGGGGGGAGGCGAGGGAGGAGGAGTGAGAGGGGGAGTGAGAGAGAGAGTGGGAGCGGGAGTGGGAGGAAAAGTGTGGGGGTTGAGGGGAGGAGTAGGGGGAGGGATGGGAGGGGCGGAGACGGGAGGGATGGGTGTGAGGGTGAGGCAGTGTGGAGAGGGAGGAGAGTGGAGGTGTGTGTGTGGTGGGGCGTGAAGGGGAGGAGTGAGTGGAGGAGGAGTGAGAAGGGGAGAGGAGGGATCGGGAGTGGGTGGAGGTGAAGGGGACCTGATGAGGGTGATGAGCACGGGAGGAGGAGGAGGAGGAGGAGGAAGAGGAAGAGGAGGAGGAAGAGGAAGAGGAGGAGGAGGTTGAAGCAGCAGTGGTGGCAGTGGCAGTCGCTGTAGGTGTGGAGCCGAGTTTGCTGCAGTGCGGACATGGGGAGAAACAAGGAGGGGCACAAAAGGGGAGAACACGTCTATGAAGAAGTGTTTTGAGACGTCTCAAAGGGAGAATACAGAAAATGGAATGGATGACGGGGGATGAGATGGGAAAGGGGAAGAACGACGTGAGTGGAGGGAGAATAGACTGCTTACTCTAATACAGTAGGTATCCTTGAGAGAATGAGACAGCATTGGTATTCATATACAGTACGTACCCTAATTTTTGTAAGGGGGGGAGGAAGGATCGACGTGAGTCTTTACGCAAGACTTCTTACCATGCTGCCATGGAAACTTTTGACTGAATTTGAGTCAACTCAAAAACCGTGTGTAATGGGTCTGCTCTTGAGTCGACTCAAAAGGGGGGAGGGAACATCGACATGAGTTGCTACGCAAGGCTGCTTACCATGCTGCCATGGAAACTTGACTGAATTTGAGTCGACTCAAAAACCGTGTGTAATGGGTCTGCTCTTGAGTCGACTCAAAAGGGGGGAGGGAACATTGACATGAGTTGCTACGCAAGGCTGCTTACCATGCTGCCATGGAAACTTCTGACTGAATCTGCCGCAGCAGCTGCACAAGCGGACGGGAGAAATCGATTGAAAGGGGAGAAGAAATCATCAAGGCTTGTCATGTCGCACACTTGTACACTGGCAGCTGACTCGTAGCTGGCCTTCAAATTTGATAATTTCAGCAGCTGTACACTACACATGCGCACACACATGCACTCATTCTATTCAGCTCACCTCCACCACTTGACTCATAGCCGGTCAGTTCCCAGCATCAGCAGCAACACACATCCCAGCCATAGCAGCCATACTTGCAGACACACACAGAGGTTGCACACAAAGACACTTAGTTAAAAGGTAGGTAGACCGTAGAACAGAACTCACCTCCACCACTTGACTCATAGCCGGTCTTTTCCCAGCCTCAACAGCAACACACATCCCAGCCACCGCAGCCATCCGAACCAGACTCCCCTCGTCGAACCTCCCCTCCAGCGACGGATCGGCGAGCTGCCGAACCTGCAGCCTAGGCTCGGCAAGCAGCGGCCTGGCCCACTGCACGAGGCTCTCCACACCTCCAGGCTCGGACCGGACCACAGGTTTACGTCCGGTGAGAAGCTCCAGGAGGATAACGCCGAAGCTGTACACATCGCTTTTGAGACTGTAGCTGCCTGTGAGTGTGTATTCTGGAGCCATATAACCGAACGTGCCTACCAGATGTCCTGATACCATTTGTGCTGATACCATGGTATCGGCCCACCAGACATGCTCTGATACCATTTTCCTCTCCTCGACAATGCCTCCTCCTCTCCTTCCCATCAACCGTCCTCTCTCATCCTCCCCTCTATCCTCCCCACTATCCTCCCCTTCCTCTCGCCGCTCTCCCATTCCCCTCTCTTTTCCCTCCCTCTCCCTGCCCTCCTCCTCACCCTCCACTCTCTCACTCCCCTCAACCCCTTTCCTGCCTTCTCCCCTCTCTTCCGTCCCCAAGGCTCTAGCCAGCCCGAAATCAGCAATCTTAGGTACAAAATCTCTATCGATCAGCACATTAGCTGATTTCAAGTCTCGATGGATAATTGAAGGGGATGCATCCTCGTGTAAATACCGCAAGCCCTGAGCGATCCCTAGCGCAATTTTGAGCCTTTGAGGCCAGTCTAAGGGGGAGAGAGGAGGGGGAGTGAGGGGAGGTGGAGTGAGAGGAGGTGGAGTGAGAGGAGGAAGTAGAGGAGCATGGGAAGTGCCTTCTCCTTCTCCCCCGTTCTCTCCTCTTTCTCCCCATTCCCCTCTTTCTCTCCCTTCCCCTCTCTCTCCTCTTCTCCCATGCAGCAGAGAGTGTAGGGTCCCCTTCTCCGACTTTTGAAGCGCCTCAAAATCTTTCCCTTCCCCTATTTCTCTTTCTCTCCCATCCCCTCTCTCTCCTCTTTGCCCATGCAGCAGAGAGTGTAGGGTCCCCTTCTCCGACTTATGAAGCGCCTCAGAATCGTTCCCATCCCCTCTTCCTCCTCCTCCTCTCCCGTCCCCTCTTCCTCCTCTTCTCCCATGCAGAAGAGAGTGTAGGGTCCCCTTTTCCACTAACTCAAAAACCAGGCACCGAAAGTTTCCCTCTCGGCAGATTCCTAGAAGCTTCACGATGTTTCTGTGATTTAAGCAGCTCAGAAGACGCGCCTCGGCTGAGAAATCTTTATCAAAATCGAGTTCCCTTACAGGGAGGATATCATCCGAACCTGTTCCCAGACCTGCTCCTGCTGCTTCTACTTTTGGTGAGGGTCTGACTGCTGCGGCTGCTGCTTCTGCTGCTACTGCCATCACCATAGCTGCTCCTGCTGCTTGCTCATTTAGGTCCGGCGACTGAGCCACATCTGCCAAAGCTGTTTCCGAGGCTCGGAACGAGGTTCGGGAGGAGAGAAGCAGCTTCACAGCGACCGGCGTCCCGTTTTCCAAAACCCCCTTGTACACCCGACTAAACCCTCCCTGCCCGATCAGTCTGCCCGAGCTGAAATTTTCCGTGGCTGCCCGGATTTGCGCGACCGAGAACGAATACGACCCGTCACAAAAGTTCCCGAGCTTTAAGGATGTTGCGAAAGGGATACCAGAACTTTCGGGCTTTAAGTGCCTTTTCTTTGCCTTCTTACCCCTCCTCACACCTACCACCTCACAGACTCCCCTACTGATCTGGGTTTCTGCATTCCCTCCCTCTCTTGCCCTTGCGCCTTCTTCCCCTCCCATGGAATCCCCTCCTCCTCTATTCGAGTGGGTAGGCCTATGAGGAGGGAAGGAGGGAGGAGAGGAGTAATCATGTGGGGGGGAGTAAAAGCTTGTTCGTTTACCAGGTGAATGCACCCCTGCTGCTGCTGCGGCTGCTGCAGCAGCAGCAGCAGCCGAGCTTGCTTCAGCAAGCCAAGAACCATCCCCCTCCTCCTCTCCCTCACTCCCTCCCCCCCAAAACGGCCCGACCGTTCTCACTCCCTTAAACGCATCCCTCTGAGCTTTTCGGGTAACTAGCCTGTTCCACACTATTGCAACCAGGGTAACAAGCACAAATACCCCCACTGGGATCCCGATGATTAGGAGGATGAGGAGAGAGGAGAGCGAGGAGGAGGAAGAGGAAGGGGAGGAAGAGGGGGAGGAGGAAGAAGGGGACAAGTCACCAGCGTTGGTGGTGTTGCTGGTGATCGTTGGTGAGAGAATGGGATCGGGGGATGAAGGAGGGGGCGGGCTGGGGAACGGTTGACCTGATCGGAAGCAGAAAGCAGGACACGGGGAAAAAAAACAAAAAAAAAAAAAAAAACGGGCCAAAGAAATTTGAGATTAGCTGCCTTGTATCCACTCAACACATTTTTTGTAGATTCTAAAAAACCCAAGCGCTGAACCCGAAACCAACCGCTGACCCCGAAACCAGCACTTAAACAAAAGCTGTATAGAGCACCTTTTTACTACTTTTTGTTAGAACGCTAGAAAACCAGCTCCGTACAACCACTGAACTGCACGGCGCAGCCCAACCCATCCCAACTTACCCGGGTCTAGAATAAAAAGGATGGTAAACTCCCCAAACAAACTCGGGTCTGGCTCCACTTGCCCCGAAAGCAACACACGTCGAATCCTCGCCACTTCCGTCCGATTCAGCTGCACCGGCTTCCCCTGAGAGTTTTGTTGCCCTGCTCTTGCCAAGACACGCGAGTGCCTCTTCTCGTCTGCCTCTGCTCTTCTCCTTTCTTCTGGCAAATGATACGTGGTGGTATCAAGGGGGCCTGTTCCTGTTAAATCCCTTTTCATTCGCCTCACATGACCCCCAGCCTCTGCTGCTGCTCCTGCTGCTGCTCCTGCTCCTGCGTTTTCTGCCATTGCCGCTGCTGCTGCTCCTGCTCCTGCGTTTTCTTCCATTGCCACTGCTGCTGCTGTCCCTTCCCCTTCCACTGGCAGAATATACGTGGTAACGACAAGCGCAGTAGGATCAGGATCATAAGTGACAGCCCAGACCTCCACCTGAGAGGGCTTTAAGAGGAGGGGCGAGGCGAGCTCGCGTGCAAACACAGGGACGTTGTGTAAGAAGGAGTCGAAGGGGGAGTGGAGGCGAGCTATGAGCACCATTGGGAGGGCGCAGAGGCAGGGGAGGGAGGGGGAGGAGGAGGAGGAGGTGGAGGGGGCGGGGAGGAAGACGGTGGGGGATGGGCATGGGGGGCAATCTGGGGGAAGACAGGGAGAGGAGTTGGGGGAAGAGAGGGGAAGAGATAGAGGTCACATTGTGATTGTGGGATCAGGATCGTACGTAACTGCCCTGACCTCCACCTGAGAGGGCTTTAAGAGGAGGGGCGAGGCCAACTCGCGTGCAAATATGGGAACGGAGGTCTGGGCTTTAAGAGGAGGGTACAATCCCCGTGCGAAGCCGAAACATGTTTGCCTGAGTCAGAGTTTTGAACAGAGCTGTGCTTTCGGTTCCTACACTAATTTTTTTACAGGGTTACTATTTTTCAACAAGTGACTATCGTTCTTTGCTAAAGCGATCCTTCACGCTGCAGCTCTTCTTCATGACCAGTGACCCGTGGGCTTTAAGAGGAGGGGCGAGGCCAACTCGCGTGCAAATACGGGAACGGAGGTCTGGGCTTTAAGAAGAGGGGCGGGCTTTAAGAGGAGGGGCGGGCTTTAAGAGGAGGGGCGGGCATTAAGAGGAGGGGCGGGCTTTAAGAGGAGGGGCGAGGTGAGCTCGCGTGCAAACACAGGGACGTTGTGTAAGAAGGAGTCGAAGGGGGAGTGCAGGCGAGCTATGAGCACCATTGGGAGGGCGCAGAGGCAGGGGAGGGAGGGGGAGGAGGAGGAGGAGGTGGAGGGGGCGGGGAGGAGGACGGTGGGGGATGGGCATGGGGGCAATCTGGGGGAAGACAGGGGGAGGAGTTGGGGGAAGGGAGGGGAAGAGATAGAGGACATATCGAGATTGTGGGATCAGGATCGTACGTGACTGCCCAGACCTCCACCTGAGAGGACTGTAGGAGGAGGGGCGAGGCCAACTCGCGTGCGAACACAGGGACGTTGTGGAGGAAGGAGTCGAAGGCGGAGTGCAGGCGAGATATCAAAACCATTGGGAGGGCGCAGGCGCAGGGGAGGGTGGGGGATGCGGCTGGGAGGAGGACGGTGGGGGATGGGCAGGGGGGGCAGTCTGGGAGGAAAATGAGGGGAACGGGTGGGGGGGAAGAGGGGTAAGGTAATTTGTCAGAGGATTTTTCTGATCAGCATGATTGGAAAGATGAAGGCAAGTTCTCGCGCGAACACTGGCACGTTGCGCAGGAAGGAGTCGAAGGAGTGCAGGCGAGCTATTCAAAATCATTGGGAGGGCGCAGGAGCAGGAGAGTGAATAAGAGGAGGGGAAGGTGAGAGCAGGGAGGAGGATTGTGGGAGGGGGGCAGGGAGGGCAGTCTGTGGGGGGAGCAGGGGAAGGAAAGCAGGGGGAGGGGTGGGGAGAAAGAGGAGCAGGGGAAACCGTCAATAAAGAACACAGGGACGTTGTCACTGAGGCGAGCTCGCGTGCGAATACAGGGACATTGCGTAAGGAGTCGAAGGCGGAGTGCAGGCGAGCTACTCAAAACCATTGGGAGGGCGCAGAGGCAGGGGAGAGGGGAGGTGGAGGGGAGGAGGACGGTGGGAGATGGGCAGGGAAGGCAGTCTGTGGGGGAAACAGGGGGCAGTCTGTGGGGGAAACAGGGGGCAGTCTGTGGGGGAAACAGGGGGCAGTCTGTGGGGGAAACAGGGGGCAGTCTGTGGGGGAAACAGGGGGCAGTCTGTGGGGGAAACAGGGGGCAGTCCATCAAAGGATTCTCCCACAGAGGGCAACACAGGCACGTTGTGCAAGGAGTCAAAGAGAGAGGTGGAGAGAGGTGGAGAAAGGTGGGAATAGAGAGCAGAGGGGGGAAGCGATAAGAAGGGAGAGGTGGGAAGGGAGGAAACTCACTTCTGCTGTCAGGGGGAGGGGGTGGAAGGATGAGCAGCGGTGGCGGAGGAGGTGGTGGTGACGGCAGGACAGCGGCCGGGCTGGATGGGCCGATTGTGAACTGCGGAGGGGAAAACAGAGGAGGAGGCGCAAGCAGCGGAGGAGGCGGCAATGACGGGGTAAGAGCACCAGGAGGGAGGGATGGGAAAAAGCTAGGAGGAGGGGTGGATTGGAGGCTAGTAGGAGCGGGAGGAGGAGGAGGAGAGGGAGAGGGGGGAGGAGGAGGAGGAGAGGGAGAGGGGGGAGGAGGGGGAGAGGGGGGAGGTGTGAGGGTGACAGGTGCTAAGCTGCGGGGTGTGCCGGCATAGAGAGGGGGGTGGCGTTTCGTGGGACGATGGAGGGGAGGGGGAGGGGGAGGGAGATGGGGAAGAGAATGAGGTGGGGGAGGGGGGAGTGAGGGAGGGGGGTGGGGAAGAGTGTGCGGAGGGGGGTAGAGTGAGGAAGGAGGGCGAGAGGAGGAAGAAGGTGGGGAAGGAGGAGGGGATGAGGAAGGGGAGGAGAGAGTGGGGGCAGTTGGGGGGAAACGATGGGGGTGGGGAGAGAGAGGTGGGGGAGGAGACGGGGAAAGGGGGAAGACAGCAGAGGGGGAGGGGGAAGGGCTAGGAGCAGGAGAAAGGCTCGGAGGCTCGGCAGGAGGTTCGGCCGGAGGCTCGATAGGAGGCTCGGAAGGGGGAGGGGGTTGGGGGCCGCGTGGGGGGTGTCTTTTAGGGGGTCTGTGGGGAGGGGGGGGAGGTTGAGGGGGATCCGGGGGAAGGGGGGAAGCAGCTGGGGGAAGTTCAGGGGGAAAGGCGGTTGGGGAGGGCGCTGGGGCAAGGGCAGGGGAAGGGGCAGGGGAGATGGCGGTGGGAAAATCAGGGGAAGGGGCGGGGGCGGGGGAGGGGGAAGGGGAACCTATAGGGGGAAGAGAGGGGGAATTCTCGGGGGGGAGGGCAGGGGAAGCAGCAGGGGAGGGGGAAAGAAGCGATGGAGGATCAGCAGCAGGGGGGAGGGAAGGGTTGGAAATAGTTTGGGGAGGGGGAGGAGGAGGATAGGAGGTGGAGGTACCAGGAATGAGAGAGATGGGAGGGGTACGAGAAGAGGGGGGAGGGGGGGAGCGGGAGGAGGAGGGGAGGAGGGAGAGGAGGGGGGAGGGGAGTCGGCTGTAGGAGTGAGGGTGCCTAGGCCGTCTGGGGGAGGGGGAGACGGAGGGGGGATGAAGGGGGATCAGGAGAGTAGGCTGGGGAGAGAACAGGGGGAGGCGCAGGGGGAAGTGCAGGGGGAGAGGCGGGGGGAAGTGCAGGGGGTGAGGCTGGGGGGAGAGTAGGGGGAAGGACTGGGGGGAGTGCGGGGGGAATGGCAATAGGACCGGGGGGTGGGGCAGCGGGGGGGAGAGAAGGGGCGGCGGCAGGAGGTTGAGATGGTGGAGGGGCCTCCACCGGAGGTTCGGCAGGAGGAGCAGCGGCAGGAGGTTCGGCAGGAGGAGCAGCGGCAGGAGGTTCGGCGGCAGGAGGTTCGGGAGGAGGCGCGGCAGGAGGCTCAGGAGGAGGTGCGGCAGGAGGTACGGCAGCAGGAGGCTGAGCCGGAGCAGAACTGCTAGGCTGCCCACTCAGCCTCAAACGCAGAGTCACCCGCCTCTGGCCTTGCTGCTCCAGTTGCCCTACTGCTCTATCCCCCTGCGGCTGTGCTGCCAGCGCAGCTGGTGGTGCTTAGTGATTCCTTGCTGCTCCAGTAGCACTGCCCTCTCCTGACCATGCTGCCGATTCCCTCCTCTTTGTCCTCCAGGACCCTTTGCAATGCTTAACGAAGCTCCTCCCCATGTCTGGCAAAAAGGAGAAAAAGGGAAGGAGGGCAGAGAGTGGTAGCATGTAAATGAGTCAGCTTGGTGTCTTTTGAGACGTCTCAAAAGTCTCGAGAGTGGTAGCATGTTGATGAGTCGGCTTGGTGTGGTAGGAATGAAAATGAAGCTATGCGAATGACGAGTGAGAAATCTCAAAAAGCACGTGATAAAAGTGATGTTTTGAGACGGCTCAAAAGTACAAGAATTGATGAGCCAAAGTGGTCCGATCTTTTCGGTCCACTCAACAAAAGTTACGTTGCGCTTTCTGTTTTTGAGTCGACGCAAAACTAGGTTACGTTGCGCTTTCTGTTTTTGAGTCAACGCAAAACTAGGTTACGTAGCGCTTTCTGTTTTTGAATCGACTCAAAACTAGGTTACGTTGCGCTTTCTGTTTTTGAGTCGACTCAAAACTAGGTTACGTAGCGCTTTCTGTTTTTGAGTCGACGCAAAACTAGGTTACGTTGCGCTTTCTGTTTTTGAGTCGACGCAAAACTAGGTTACGTTGCGCTTTCTGTTTTTGAGTCGACTCAAAACTAGGTTACGTAGCGCTTTCTGTTTTTGAGTCGACGCAAAACTAGGTTACGTAGCACTTTCTGTTTTTGAGTCGACGCAAAACTAGGTTACGTTGCGCTTTCTGTTTTTGAGTCGACGCAAAACTAGGTTACGTTGCGCTTTCTGTTTTTGAGTCGACTCAAAACTAGGTTACGTAGCGCTTTCTGTTTTTGAGTCGACGCAAAACTAGGTTACATTGCGCTTTCTGTTTTTGAGTCGACGCAAAACTAGGTTGCGTTGCGCTTTCTGTTTTTGAGTCGACGCAAAACTAGGTTACGTTGCGCTTTCAGAATTCTCGAGTCACGCACCAGAGTGGTTCGGTTGATGAGCCACAGTGGTCGACCCGCAACCGCCCTTGCAACAGCTCTTCCCGCCTTTTGTCGCACCTCAAACCCCACACCACCCTCTCAACACCTGCTCCTGCCCTTTGCTGCACCTCAAATCCTACACCACCCCTCGTACCAGCGCCTCCCATTCCCCCACCCCTCACACCAGCTCCTCTCCCTTCTAGGTGACTTTTGAGTCGACTCAAAAGTCCCCCCCCACCTCTCACACCTCTCCCTTCTTTCTTATCCCCTGCCTTCCCACCCTGCTGCTCTGGCGTTCTTCCCTCCTCTCCCCGTCCACTTCTCATCCCCTCTCCCCGTCCACTTCTCATCCCCTCTCCCCGTCCACTTCTCATCCCTTCTTTCTCCTTACTCTCTTCTTCTGCTCCCGCAGCCCCTCTCTCCCTGCTCTCTCCTTCTGTGATCAACCCCTCTCTCTTCTTGCTTGCTCCTGCTCCCATCCTCTCTCTCTCCTTACTGCAACTGACGCACAGAAGCAACACCCCTCCTCTGCCCGCTGTTTCCCCCTTCTCAGTCCCCTTGTGAACCGAATCAGAAGTCTCCTTGCTGCTACTGAGACACAAATACAGCGTTCCTCCTGCTGTGGCGGCACTTTGCCCCCTCTCTGGTGCTTCCCCTTCCTCAAATGTCTGGTGAAACAAACCGAAAGTCTCCTTGCTGCTACTGAGACACAAAAACAGCGTTCCTCCTGCTCCCGCACTTTCCCCTTTCTCCCTTTTTTCCTCTGCTTCTCCAATAGGTTCCCTCCTCTCCTCCTCCTGCTGCTGCTGCTGCTGCTGCTGCTCCTGCTGCTGCTCCTGCTGCTGCTGCTCCTGCTGCTGCTGCTCCTGCTGCTGCTGCTCCTGCTGCTGCTGCTCCGGCTGCTGCTGCTCTGGCTGCTGCTGCCCTTGCCCCTCCTGCTGCTGTGCTTTTCCCGCACCCTCATCCTCTTCCTTACTCAAACCAGGCCCATCGATCTCAAGCCCTGCTTGCCCTTTCGTATTCCCTTCAGACTCTCCACACGCCAGGCTTAAAAGCCTTCTTAAAAGCCTTTGGGTTACACTCCTCCCCGCACTCTCACTCCCCTCGCCTTCTTTCGTCTTCCCTTCAATCGCCTCATCTCTGCTCGCCGTTTCAAACCTCACAAGTTTCCCGCACGCTAGGCTCAAGCGCTCTTGGGCTACATTCACAAACCGCTCCTGCTCTCGTGGGCACATTTTGAGTATTCTCAGAACACGCCCTAGGGTTGCACCCAACAGCCACTCCTGCTGATTGAGTAGGCATAGGCGGATACTAAACAGGTGGAACTGGGGTGGGTCAATGGGTGAAAGGCTGAAATTCGTTACTTCAGCTGCAGAGCAGGAGTGCAGCAGGAGAGGGTGCGGGCACTGCGATGGGTGCAGCTGGGGCGGTTCAATGAGTTGTCGGCTGAGATCGGATGGGTCGAATGCGGTGCAGGAGAGCAGGAAGAGAGGGTGGGGACACTCGGTTTGGTGCAGGTGGTTTGGGTCTGTGGGCTGGATGCTGAAATCGGATGGGTCGAATGCGGTGCAGGAGTGTAGCAGGAGAGAGTGAGCACACTCTGTTGGGAGCAGCTGGGTCAGCACCTGAGAGGGGCTGGTGACGACACAGCAGCACCGGCACTGGAGGTCTGAGTGGGTGGAGGGAGGAGGGGGAAATGGGGAAGGGGAGCGGAGAGAAGGGAGGGATGGGGAAGAGAAGGCGGAAACGGGCGGCAGCGGAGAGGCGCTGGTGTCGACACAGCAGCACTGGCACTGGAGGTTTGAGTGGGGGAGTGGAAAGAAAACGTGGGAGGAACTGTTGGGAGTAACCTGCCTCTGCTCCCTTTTGAGGCGCCTCAAAAGACGATTTTTGAGGCGCCTCGAAAAAAGTCTGAGTGGGCGAGTGGAAAGAGAACATGGGAGGAACAGTTGGGAGCAAGCTTCCTCTCCTCCAATTTCCCCCTTCTCTTAGCCCTTCCCCCACTCCTGCAACAGCTACCCTCTATGTTGGTCTTGCTTTGAGAATTCTCAAAAGTAACACCAACATGGAAGGAACGGTTGGGAGCAAGCAACCTGCCTCTCCTCCCCTTTCCCCCTTCTCTTAGCCCTTCCCCCACTCCTGCAACAGCTACCCTCTATGTTGGTCTTGCTTTGAGAATTCTCAAAAGTAACACCAACATGGAAGGAACGGTTGGGAGCAAGCAACCTGCCTCTCCTCCCCTTTCCCCCTTCTCTTAGCCCTTTCCCCACTCCTGCAACACCTACCCTCTATGTTGGTCTTGCTTTGAGAATTCTCAAAAGTAACACCAACATGGAAGGAACGGTTGTGAGCAACCTTCCTCTCCTCCAATTTCCCCCTTCTCTTAGCCCTTCCCCCACTCCTTCCTTCAATACCTACCCTCTCCTCCCTTTTCCCCGTTCACCTAGCCCTTCCCCCCCACCCTCACACGTACCCTCTCCTTCCTTTTCCCCGTTCTCTTAGTCCTTCCTCCCCACCCCCAACACCTACCCACTCCTCGTTCCACGCTCACTTAGCCCTTCCCCCCCTCCCAGCACCTACCCTCTCCCAAGACGCCACGTGTACAAGCGGCGACGAGGCAGATCGCTAGGAGGAGCCGCCGGTGCGCCGCCGCGCGCGCCGCGAGCTGCGGCGGCCCGCTCACACGCGGGGATGCGGAGCCCAACATGCAGTAATCACGCCGCCGATGGCGCCGCGGCACATGACGCGTCATAGCTGCGGATCCAACGGTCACCGTTAGAGGCGACTCGCTCCGACGCGTAATACTAGCGGTTGCTCTCTTGTCGTCATCGCAGACATGTCGCTCAAACGTCGTCTCGAATCGTCTCGAATCGTCAGGAATCGGCAGGAACTGTCAGGAATCGTGTCACGGCCTGCTACCTCTATTTGGGTCCAATAACTAACTTTTGAGTTGACTCGAAACTCGCCTCGTCACTCACAGCTGTCCCTGTCATTCAAACGTCATTTCGAATCGTGTCATGGCCTTCGGACCGCTATTGTACGCATTCTTATAACAATCCGCTCCGTTATAGACTGAATCGACATTCTAGTGCTAGCAGTCGCGTGCGAATGCGGGCCTCATCGGAGTTTTGCTAGCATTGTCACTTTCGTAAGATATCAAAAGTGATTCGCATTGTCGCGGTCGGCCGGAGATTCTAGCATTGACTCTAGCATTCTTATGCGTCATCGTTCACCATGCATGATTCGTCATGCGTCGAGAGTCGCGAGTCGCGCGTCGCGCGTTCCGCGTCGCGCGTTCGACGTCGAGGTTCGTCGCTCTACGTCAGGCTGTGCGAGCTCACCCCGCGCTATCTGTCCTCAAATATGCTACTTTCTGTCTAACTCACAAAAGGCTTTATAAGTACACCATGGCCTCAAAGCGGCGCCGACACACCGTCAATCAGTTTTTCTAAGAAATGCTTGGTGACTTCCTCTGTTCGAAGTCGACTACCGAATCAACGTGACGGAACCACGGCGGTCAGGACGACGGATAGAATGCCACGTGTGATTCGGAGAGACTGACACGTGTGATTGGGAGAGACTGAATGTGTGCGTCGTCCGAGACCTTACTACCTCGTATTCGTTTTAACTCGCATCACATCCTTCCCAAGCCGTCGCCGCCATTGTAAACTGCAGTTGCGAAAGGCTTCTGGCGAGTCGGAGTCCTATCAAACTGCCTCGTTCCTGCTGCTCTGGTCAGGACGCGAGGGAGTTGGTTTGGGAGGGAGCTGGGTCACAGGAAGGACTCGAGGAAACCAGATCCATCAGGAGGATACGAGAACGCCCGGTCCATTTGAAACGATATCGCATGGTCTCCTACGGTTCAGCGCGGTCTATCTACAACCAAGGCTCGTCGCAGAACTAAACCGACTCGAGGGTCTCATTTGGGAACACTCTCTAGTCAACACGGCGGAATGCGGTTTTCCGTACACCACGTTTTTGTTTGGTACGGAATCCCGCCTACCAGCGCGGCCTTTCGGCTTTTGCGCGGGGAGGCACAGCCCAGCCCAGAACAGAAAACCAGGGTGTTCCATTGGTGGGACCTTCAATAACGGGGATTCATAATATTACCGTATTGAACGACGCTGAAATCACACTGCATCGTACAGAGTTCCCTTCGTCTCGCATGTCCGAAAACAGGGGGACGGGGAAAAAACTGCAGGCAGCATGCTGGTGAACGGCTGGGATGGCTGCCCTTGGGATTGGCGAACGCGGAAGGAATGCCAGACTTGCGGCGCCCTCGGCGGATGATCGGATCGCGGCCGCAGGTCTGGCGGAAATACAGGCCGCGGATATGTGAGTGGAGGCAGGACTATTTTTTGTATGATTCAGCGAACAGTGAGAAGAAAATGTAACATACTAAGTTACCAAGGCCACCTTCGACGAAGCAGACCTGGGGTCAATACTGCGTGCGACACACGTTGCGCGAGGTGCGTTTCGAAACAATGCGTCGATATGGTAACGAACGTCGTCCATGACGAAATCATGCAACGCCTCGCCAACCAAAGAAAACCATCGAGATACAAGAAAACTTGAAGGACGCACTCCATTCCGGTTCCAGCTCCATCCCTGAAGACACACAGCAGGACTCAAGCGCTTTGTCTGATTGTTCCATTTTGGAGCCGGCCAAATGAAATATGAGGTGACACTTTCCTTCTCTTGTGTGGTAACCCATGTTGCTACTGTCTGTAACTCGCTCCAGGAACACGCCTCAGCGAGCGATGTCGGACTTTGATGGGAGTAGCTAACTCGGACACCAACAGGAAAGGAGAGTTTTGCTCAATCTCGCGGAATCGCGGTTCGTTTTATTATCGCCACGTGGCATGCCTTCGATCGCGTGAACCGCGATCTGTTTTATTGTTATCACAAAATTCAGCCGAAATTTAGTTAAGTTCTGTACTGCGCTGCCCGTGGGCAAAAATAAAACCCGTTCGGGCCTGGCATGCGTTAGGGAGGCATCAACCCTAAACACCTTTCCTCTAGGTGTTTAGGGTTGATGCATCCCTAACGGATGCCTTACCTATAGGGGTTTTATTTTTTCCCACGGGCAGCGCAGTACAGCACTTAACTCAATTTCTCTTGAATTTTGTGATAACAATAAAACAGATCGCGCTTCACGCGATCATAGGCTCGCCACGTAGCGATAATAAATCAAACCGCGCTTCCGCGGGTTTGAGCAAAAGTCTCACAGGAAAGTGATGGTGCTCAGCAAATACTTGCAGAGCAGAACCAGCAGCAGGCAATTTGCACCATAGTTCAGTTTTCTCGAGCTGAATGCAGACTGGTGTACTGGCTTCCCGTGATCGGCGCTTGGCTGATTAGCCTGTTCGTAGTCTTAGCGTCCTCGGGTTTTACTTCTTCCCACAGCAGACGAGTCTGCGAGATTCGATTCCGCCCGCGTTCCCTCTTCGCCTTTCCGACTGATCTGCGCTTGCGTGCGGATTTGCGAAAGGATCTTCCTACTTTTGATCCTGTGGTCGTGTTAGTTTCAGAGCGGTCACGATGTTTGGAGGAGGGTTCAAGGGCTCGAAGCTGTAAGTCATGAGGCTCACACGTTCTTACGTTCGTTACATAGACTTACGAAACAACGATTTTTGCCGTCAAGTTGCTCGCACATTCAGAAGATTTACCATTAGTGGTATTGTTGTCAACGGGTCTCGATGTCCTTGTCCAAGTCCCAGCTTTTTCTCTCCTCTTCTCGGGTTCCATGTCAAAGTATTGACATGTTTATCTCGGTAAAAATTGTTGAACTTTTATTATGCAAAATGTCCTCGTTACAGGAAGACGCAGCTTCAGCTGTCGGCATCGCGAATCACGGTGATGCGCAACAAGCGGCAGAACGAGCTCAAGTACAAACGGCGCGAGGTGGCGATGATGCTCAAGGGTGGCCAAGAAGCTCGAGCTCGTATTAGGGTACGTAATACGCTTTATAACGTTATGCATTTAATGTTAATGCGTATGTGTATATTATTAGTATACGGTGATGCGCAACAAGCGGCAGAACGAGCTCAAGTACAAACGGCGCGAGGTGGCGATGATGCTCAAGGGTGGCCAAGAAGCTCGAGCTCGTAGTAGGGTACGTAATACGCTTTATAACGTTATGCATTTAATGTTAATGCGTATGTGTATATTATTAGTATACAGTGATGCGCAACAAGCGGCAGAACGAGCTCAAGTACAAGCGGCGCGAGGTGGCGATGATGCTCAAGGGCGGCCAGGAGGCTCGAGCTCGTATCAGGGTACGCATTACGCTTTATCAGATCAGGGTATGGGATGACACATGCTTTATTCTGGCGATGATGCTCCAAAGACGAACAGGAGGCTCAAGCTTGAATTGACAATGAACTGAAAATCCTGATTGATTGTGGCAGTCACGAGATGGACAAGCGAAGCCATATTGTGTCCGGAGATCATTGGCTGGAATAGTTCATAACTGCACTCCATCCGATGTGTGTATATCTTATCTCCCTTCACCCATCCAAATTTCCTCTCTTTTTTTTACTTCTAAGGTGGAGGAGCTTATAAGGGAGGAGAACACCATAGCGGCTTACGACGTCTTGGAGCTCTTTTGCGAACTGCTGGTCGCCCGTATCCTCATTATAGAGTCGCAGAAGTGAGTGCTTTTAGGTGTAAATTGTACGTATAATACACGATACATATTTGAACCCCCCTCCCAGCTTCTGATAATGATTGTGTGGTTTTTGTGATGTTCGTGTTGACGATTTTTTAGGCTAAACGTGTTGCTTTGTTTTGACGATTGGTATCTCTTTGTTTCAGGACCTGCCCGGTGGACCTGCGGGAGGCTGTGTCGAGCGTTATTTTCGCTGCCCCGCGCTGCTCCGACCTGCCCGAGCTCGCCGAGGCGAAGAAACTTTTCCAGCAGAAGTTTGGGCGGGAATTCGTGATGGCAGCAGAAGAGCTCCGGCCCGAATGCGGAGTGAACCGGATTGTGAGTGTTTTGGCGTGGAGTGCAGTGCGGTGGGGTGGCTGGAGTGGAGTGGAGTGGAGTGGAGTGGAGTGGAGTGGAGTGGAGTGATGCATAGTGCGTTCGAATGGGGTGTAGTGGGGCAGTGACGAAACCCTTTGACTTGTGTCTGGAGTTTGGGCGGGAGTTCGTGAAGGCAGCAGAGGAGCTGTGGCCTGAATGTGGAGTGAACCGGATTGTAAGTGTTATGGGTTTTGATGTGGTGGAGTGTGGTGGGTTGGGATTTCTTGGGGTCGAGCTCGCCGAGGCGAAGAAACTCTTCCAGCAGAAGTTTGGGCGGGAATTCGTGATGGCAGCAGAGGAGCTGCGGCCCGAATGCGGGGTGAACCGAATCATGAGTGTTTCGGTGTGGAGTGTGGTGGGGTGGGGTGGAGTGATGCGGAGTGCGTTCGAATGGGGTGGAGTGGGTCAGAGATGGAACTGATGTTTGGCTCGTCTCAGAGGAGCTCCGCCCCGAATGCGCCGAATGCGGAGTCAATAGAATTGTGCGCGGAGTGGGTCAGCTATGTTTCTTCTCTTTCACCCATGTCCCCTCTTTCCCCCATGTCCCCTCTTTCCCCCATGTCCCCTCTTTTCTGTGCATGTGTGCGGCACTTGCAGATAGTGGCTAAACTCTCAGTGACTTTTGAGTCGACTCAAAAGTCAACTCATGAGTCGACTCAAAAGTCAACTCACTTTTGAGTCGACTCAAAAGTCAACTCACGAGTCGACTCAAAAGTTTCCCCCATGCCCCCTCTTTTCTGTGCATGTGTGCGGCACTTGCAGATAGTGGCTAAACTCTCAGTGACTTTTGAGTCGACTCAAAAGTCAACTCATGAGTCGACTCAAAAGTCAACTCACTTTTGAGTCGACTCAAAAGTCAACTCACGAGTCGACTCAAAAGTTTCCCCCATGCCCCCTCTTTTCTGTGCATGTGTGCGGCACTTGCAGATAGTGGCTAAACTCTCAGTGACTTTTGAGTCGACTCAAAAGTCAACTCATGAGTCGACTCAAAAGTCAACTCACTTTTGAGTCGACTCAAAAGTCAACTCACGAGTCGACTCAAAAGTTTCCCCCATGCCCCCTCTTTTCTGTGCATGTGTGCGGCACTTGCAGATTGTGGCTAAACTCTCAGTGACTTTTGAGTCGACTCAAAAGTCAACTCATGAGTCGACTCAAAAGTCAACTCACTTTTGAGTCGACTCAAAAGTCAACTCACGAGTCGACTCAAAAGTTTCCCCCATGCCCCCTCTTTTCTGTGCATGTGTGCGGCACTTGCAGATTGTGGCTAAACTCTCAGTGACTTTTGAGTCGACTCAAAAGTCAACTCATGAGTCGACTCAAAAGTCAACTCACTTTTGAGTCGACTCAAAAGTCAACTCACGAGTCGACTCAAAAGTTTCCCCCATGCCCCCTCTTTTCTGTGCATGTGTGCGGCACTTGCAGATTGTGGCTAAACTCTCAGTGACTTTTGAGTCGACTCAAAAGTCAACTCATGAGTCGACTCAAAAGTCAACTCACGAGTCGACTCAAAAGTTTCCCCCATGCCCCCTCTTTTCTGTGCATGTGTGCGGCACTTGCAGATTGTGGCTAAACTCTCAGTGACTTTTGAGTCGACTCAAAAGTCAACTCACGAGTCGACTCAAAAGTTTCCCCCATGCCCCCTCTTTTCTGTGCATGTGTGCGGCACTTGCAGATTGTGGCTAAACTCTCAGTGACTTTTGAGTCGACTCAAAAGTCAACTCATGAGTCGACTCAAAAGTCAACTCACGAGTCGACTCAAAAGTTTTCCCCATGCCCCCTCTTTTCTGTGCATGTGTGCGGCACTTGCAGATTGTGGCTAAACTCTCAGTGACTTTTGAGTCGACTCAAAAGTCAACTCATGAGTCGACTCAAAAGTCAACTCACGAGTCGACTCAAAAGTTTCCCCCATGCCCCCTCTTTTCTGTGCATGTGTGCGGCACTTGCAGATTGTGGCTAAACTCTCAGTGACTTTTGAGTCGACTCAAAAGTCAACTCATGAGTCGACTCAAAAGTCAACTCACGAGTCGACTCAAAAGTTTCCCCCATGCCCCCTCTTTTCTGTGCATGTGTGCGGCACTTGCAGATTGTGGCTAAACTCTCAGTGACTTTTGAGTCGACTCAAAAGTCAACTCATGAGTCGACTCAAAAGTCAACTCACGAGTCGACTCAAAAGTTTCCCCCATGCCCCCTCTTTTCTGTGCATGTGTGCGGCACTTGCAGATTGTGGCTAAACTCTCAGTGACTTTTGAGTCGACTCAAAAGTCAACTCATGAGTCGACTCAAAAGTCAACTCACGAGTCGACTCAAAAGTTTCCCCCATGCCCCCTCTTTTCTGTGCATGTGTGCGGCACTTGCAGATTGTGGCTAAACTCTCAGTGACTTTTGAGTCGACTCAAAAGTCAACTCATGAGTCGACTCAAAAGTCAACTCACGAGTCGACTCAAAAGTTTCCCCCATGCCCCCTCTTTTCTGTGCATGTGTGCGGCACTTGCAGATTGTGGCTAAACTCTCAGTGACTTTTGAGTCGACTCAAAAGTCAACTCATGAGTCGACTCAAAAGTCAACTCACGAGTCGACTCAAAAGTTTCCCCCATGCCCCCTCTTTTCTGTGCATGTGTGCGGCACTTGCAGATTGTGGCTAAACTCTCAGTGACTTTTGAGTCGACTCAAAAGTCAACTCATGAGTCGACTCAAAAGTCAACTCACGAGTCGACTCAAAAGTTTTCCCCATGCCCCCTCTTTTCTGTGCATGTGTGCGGCACTTGCAGATTGTGGCTAAACTCTCAGTGACTTTTGAGTCGACTCAAAAGTCAACTCATGAGTCGACTCAAAAGTCAACTCACGAGTCGACTCAAAAGTTTCCCCCATGCCCCCTCTTTTCTGTGCATGTGTGCGGCACTTGCAGATTGTGGCTAAACTCTCAGTGACTTTTGAGTCGACTCAAAAGTCAACTCATGAGTCGACTCAAAAGTCAACTCACGAGTCGACTCAAAAGTTTCCCCCATGCCCCCTCTTTTCTGTGCATGTGTGCGGCACTTGCAGATTGTGGCTAAACTCTCAGTGACTTTTGAGTCGACTCAAAAGTCAACTCATGAGTCGACTCAAAAGTCAACTCACGAGTCGACTCAAAAGTTTCCCCCATGCCCCCTCTTTTCTGTGCATGTGTGCGGCACTTGCAGATTGTGGCTAAACTCTCAGTGACTTTTGAGTCGACTCAAAAGTCAACTCATGAGTCGACTCAAAAGTCAACTCACGAGTCGACTCAAAAGTTTCCCCCATGCCCCCTCTTTTCTGTGCATGTGTGCGGCACTTGCAGATTGTGGCTAAACTCTCAGTGACTTTTGAGTCGACTCAAAAGTCAACTCATGAGTCGACTCAAAAGTCAACTCACGAGTCGACTCAAAAGTTTCCCCCATGCCCCCTCTTTTCTGTGCATGTGTGCGGCACTTGCAGATTGTGGCTAAACTCTCAGTGACTTTTGAGTCGACTCAAAAGTCAACTCATGAGTCGACTCAAAAGTCAACTCACGAGTCGACTCAAAAGTTTTCCCCATGCCCCCTCTTTTCTGTGCATGTGTGCGGCACTTGCAGATTGTGGCTAAACTCTCAGTGACTTTTGAGTCGACTCAAAAGTCAACTCATGAGTCGACTCAAAAGTCAACTCACGAGTCGACTCAAAAGTTTCCCCCATGCCCCCTCTTTTCTGTGCATGTGTGCGGCACTTGCAGATTGTGGCTAAACTCTCAGTGACTTTTGAGTCGACTCAAAAGTCAACTCATGAGTCGACTCAAAAGTCAACTCACGAGTCGACTCAAAAGTTTCCCCCATGCCCCCTCTTTTCTGTGCATGTGTGCGGCACTTGCAGATTGTGGCTAAACTCTCAGTGACTTTTGAGTCGACTCAAAAGTCAACTCATGAGTCGACTCAAAAGTCAACTCACGAGTCGACTCAAAAGTTTCCCCCATGCCCCCTCTTTTCTGTGCATGTGTGCGGCACTTGCAGATTGTGGCTAAACTCTCAGTGACTTTTGAGTCGACTCAAAAGTCAACTCATGAGTCGACTCAAAAGTCAACTCACGAGTCGACTCAAAAGTTTCCCCCATGCCCCCTCTTTTCTGTGCATGTGTGCGGCACTTGCAGATTGTGGCTAAACTCTCAGTGAGAGCCCCCTCGCCCGAAGCCAAGCTTGAGGCTTTACAGAATCTGGCAGAGGAGAACGGCGTGGAGTGGAGGGGAGGGGAGGGGCTGACCCAGTCCATGTTCCCTGTGCCTCTCTCCTTGTATCTGCCCTTGCGGTCAGTCCGAGCCCCCTCTTCTGAAGCCAAGCTAGAGGCGCTGCAGCAGCTGGCAGAGGAGAACGGAGTGGAGTGGCCGACCCAGTTCCCTTGTTTTTCCTTTGCTCTCCGTCTTTTTTCCTGCACTGCCAGATTGTGGCTAAACTCTCAGTGAGAGCCCCCTCGCCTGAAGCCAAGCTGGAGGCGCTGCAGAAATTGGCAGAGGAGAACGGCGTGGAGTGGAGTGGAGGGACCGACTCAGGTGTCTGTTGCCTTGTTTCTTCCCTGCACGCCTCTCAGATTGTGGCCAAGCTGTCAGTGCGAGCCCCCTCGCCTGAAGCCAAGCTGGAGGCGCTGCAGAAATTGGCAGAGGAGAACGGCGTGGAGTGGAGTGGAGGGACCGACTCAGGTGTCTGTTGCCTTGTTTCTTCCCTGCACGCCTCTCAGATTGTGGCCAAGCTGTCAGTGCGAGCCCCCTCGCCTGAAGCCAAGCTAGAGGCGCTGCAGAAGCTGGCAGAGGAGAACGGCGTGGAGTGGGACCCGGCGAGCATGCAGAAGGACTTGCTGGCGAAATATGAGGATATGATGGTGAGTGAGAGGCTTTACTAATACATTCTCCTGGCGAAAGGGGAGGAGTGTGTTCCGGCGAGCATGCAGGAGGATCTACTGGCGAAATACGAAGACATGATGGTGAGTTTGGTGTTAGGTTTAGTAGGAGGTGTTTAGAGGGGTGGAGAGGGGTGGATAGGGGTGGAGTGGGAACCAGCGAGCATGCAGAAGGACTTATTGGCGAAATACGAAGACATGATGGTGAGTGTGATGTTGGGGGCTCAGTCAGAGGCCTTTAACGGGGTGGAAAGGAGTGGAGTGGGATATAGAAGGATATACTGGAGAGCCTATTTTCCCCCTTCCCCCCGTTCCCCCTTCCCCGCTTCTCCCCTTTTCCCCCCTCAGGACCCTCGTTCCAACCAGCCGGTCTACACATCTGCCCATCCAGACGCTCCCAGGACGCCCCCTCCTCACGACTCCCATTCTCCCCTTCCCCCTTTTTCCCCATTCCCCCCTTCTCGCTTTCCCTCTTCTCATTTCTTTCCCCCCCTCAGGACCCGCGTTCCAACCAGCCGGTCTACACATCTGCCCATCCAGACGCTCCCAGAACCCTCACTCCTTCGTCTCCCCTTACTTTTGAGACGTCTCAAAACTCCCCTTACCCCCTACCCCACTGCTCCCCATCCTAACCTTTCTCCTTCCCCCGCTACTCCCCCCCTCAGGACCCTCGTTCCAACCAGCCGGTCTACACATCTGCCTATCCAGACGCTCCCAGAACCCTCACTCCTTCGTCTCCCCTTACAGGCTTACCCCCTACCGCACTGCTCCCCATCCTAGCCTTTCTCCTTCCCCCGTTACTCCCCCCCCTCAGGACCCTCGTTCCAACCAGCCGGTCTACACATCTGCCTATCCAGACGCTCCCAGAACCCTCACTCCTTCGTCTCCCCTTACAGGCTTACCCCCTACCGCACTGCTCCCCATCCTAGCCTTTCTCCTTCCCCCGTTACTCCTCCCTTTCAGGACCCTCGTTCCAACCAGCCAGTCTACACATCTACCCTTCTAGATGCTCATTCAGTGATTTGTCCTTTTGCCTTTTTTTTTCCCCCGTTTGGTTCCCCCCACTTTGTTTCCCCCCCTCAGGACCCTCGTTCCAACCAGCCAGTCTACACATCTGCCCATCCAGACGCTCCCAGGACGCCCCCTCCTCACGACTCAATGCCCAACATGTTTGGCCCCGGGCAGCCCTACAATCCCGGGCAGCCCGCAAATGTTCCGGCATGCAGCCAGCCGTACGAAGCCGGCCCTCCGTCTGCCCCTCCTCGCACAGAATCTTTGATTACAGCAGATGACTATGAGAAGCGGTGGGTGGGACAGGGTCAGGCAAATAATCCCCCTCACCCTGCTTCTGCTGCTGCTGCCGCCGCTGCTGCTGCTGCTGCTGCTGGTGCTGCTGCTGGTGCTGGTGGTGCTGCTGCTGGCGGTGGTGGTGGTGGTGGTGGTGGTGGTGCTGCTGGTGGTGCTGCTGCTGGCGGTGGTGGTGGTGGTGGTTACGGTGCTGGTGGTGGGTCAGCTGGTTACACTGGCGTGGGTGGTAACCCCCTAGATTACCCAGCATCGTCTGTACCAAAGTATGGAGAGGGGAAAGTTTTCAAGAAAGATGCTATGGATTACGCTCCTAGCAGCTATGGTGGAGGAGGGGGAAAGGGAGGAGGAGGGGGAGGAGGGGGAGGAGGGAGAGGGGGAGGGGGTAACTTCCAGAATCAGGGTAACAACCAACCCAGTGGTGCTTTTTCCACAGAGGAGATTCGGCAGGCGGAGAATGAGGTGGCGAGGGAGTTTGATCGTGTGGCTGAGGAGAGAGAGCGCCAGATGGCGGCCATCCGTGAGTCGTCAGAGCGCGCCAGGCTGGCGGCGCAGCGGGCGGCAGATGCCGCCCGGATGGCCGTCGGGGGTGGGGGAGCGGGGGGAATGGGGGAATGGGGGGGATGGGGGGAGGGGGGATGGGGGGAGGGGGAATCGGAGCTGGGTATGGATCGGGGGCAGGAGGAGGAGGAGGAGGAGGAGGGGGAGGGATGATGGGCGGGCAGGGAGGAATGGCAGTGAACGCTCGTTACGGGCCTAGTGCTTACGGCGGCGTGGCAGGTGGATCCCCAGGTGGTTCTGTTGGTCCAGGTGATTCCTCTGTTGGTTCAGGTGGAGGGGGCGGGGTGCAGGACGGGGAGGACAGTTTGGATCTGCCAGCTCCCCCTAGGGGAATCGTGGGGGGGAGAGGAGGGGGAGGGGGAGGGGGAGGGGGAGGCGGAGGAGGGGGGGGGGGGGGAGGAGGAGGAGGTGGGTTTGTGGGGGCGAGTGCATTTGACGAATTTGTGGCTAAGTCACCTCGAGCAGGAGAAACTGGCAGTGGTGGATTTGGGGTAGGAGGAGGAGGAGGAGCAGGGGGGATGGGAGGAGCAGGGGGGACAGGAGGCACTGGTACTGGGTATGGAGCAGAGTCAACAGCACCAGCAAGCCACGGCACCCCAGCACATGCTTTCGACGACTACGTTGCACGATCTCCTAGGGGAAGCAACAATAGCAACGGCAGTGGCGATTTCAATGCCCCGTCCGTCCCTGGTTCGGGCGCCGCCCATTCCTCCCACTCAGGCTCGGAATTCCCCTCTGTGCCAGGCTCCGGCGGGTACGGCTCCGGTGCTGGCTCGGGGTATGGTGGAGGAGGTGCGGGGGTAGGCTCGGGGCCAGGTTCAGGCATGGGAGGTTCGGGGATGCAGAGTGGTCCGGGGACCAGTGGATTGTCGGGAGATGTCATGTCTCTTCCGGGAATTGATGACCTGGCTGCTAGGTTTGACCGGCTGAGAAAGAGAACGGCTGCATCGGATGACCTGTGAATGAAAGGCATGTAGTGCGGGGGGGGGGGGGGGGGGGGGGGGGGAGTGTTGATCACTTGGCTGTGAGGTTTCACCGGCTGAGGAAGAGAACAGCTCCATCGGATGACCTGTGAAAGGCAGACTGTTAAACAGGCATGCCGAAGCGTGTAGTTGGGTTGTCAGGGGATGTGATGTCTCTGCTGGGGAGAGGCTGTGTGTGTGAGGCATACAGGCAGACTGGCTCACTTAGGACAACTGGATTGTCCTAGCTGAGAGTTTGTGACATCAGTGGGGAGATGTGATGTCGCTACCCAGGATTGATGGCTTAACTGCAAGGTTCGGCCGGCTGAGGAAGAGACGGCTGCATCGGATGATTTGTGAATGGCAGATTACTTTTTTAGGCACCCACCTCTCAACTTTTGGCTGTGCAGTGGGCTGGATAGCTTGTGGGTCGGGTGGGGTGGGGGGGGGTAATGTGCTTTTTGTTGCCCGTTGTTGTAAATGCTGTGGTCTGGACACTAGTGTTGATCAGCTCGAAAAAACAGTAGCATTGGGTGATTTTTGAATGGCAGATTGTAGTTAGTTAGACATGCCGAGGAGTGTGAGGGTGCATGCACAGACGGAATACCCTACACAAGGTGTGCTACTGATGCAGGGCAAGGAATAATTGGTTGGTTGGTGTGTATTGTTGCATTGTGCAGTAGATTATCTGTTCTTTGTAATGAATCAATTTGTAGAAAGAGCGTTTTCAATGTGTTATAATTAACCATTTTGGGCTAGTTTATGATGAGGACCCTGTTATGTAGTTGTACCATTATTATCAACCATGTGGCAGGTTTTAAGCTGCACTAATGAGGACTATGCAGAAGAATCTCAATAGTAAGTTGTTGACATCACAGTATAGCGCATCAGCTTGTCTACGGACTTCCCAGAGGTCTCAAAAGACGATATGTTTGTCCCTAGTATCTACCCTACACCTACTATACTACACCTGCACAGCAGGGGTTTGTATTTAGAGCAACTACAGAGAAATCGTCAACCTGAAAGTGTGGTCTTTCACGCACTCTCAAGTCTAATCCCCCATTATCCGTGCCATATTACTGGGCCAGGGGAGTCCCAGAAATCCCTTTTCGCAGGCTCTCATTCCCCATCCACCCACACCCACTCCCACCCACACCCATCATTCGATTCAAGCCCCCATCCCCTCCCCCTCCTCTCTGTCATCGTCGGTTGAACGGTCCTCCTCCCAGGGTCTCATACCCAGCCCCAGGACTCCCAGCCGTGGCGGGCATTGAGCTCCACTTGTTGTACTGACTCCTCCCCTGCATGCCCATTGTTCCTCCCTTCCCTGGATAATATTTTCCCCCTCCCTCTCTTATCACCGACCAAACGGCCCTCCTCCTTGCGTCTCATACCCCCCACCACCAAGCCCACCACCCCCTCTCCCTGCAGTGGCAGGGCCTTGGGAACTCATGCTCCATTTCTTGTACTGACTCCACCCCAGCATACCCATTGTAATCACCGCTGCTGTACCCAGGGGAATGGTCACGATGAGCACCACCATGAGGGTGTGTTGACTCTAGCGTCGTTGGGGGAAAGAGGAACCACCATCATGCTTTTAGTTCATCAATTATCGGTTGAACGGCCCTCCTCCTAGGGTCTCATACCCCCCACCACCAAGCCCACCACCTCCTCTCCCAGCAGTGGCAGGGCCTTGGGAACTCATGCTCCACTTCTTGTACTGACTCCACCCCAGCATACCCATTGTAATCACCGCTGCTGCACCCAGGGGAATGGTCACCATCAGCACGACCATGAGCGTGTTGACTCCAGCGTCGTTGGGAGGCGCGGGAGGGGCGGTTGTGGTGGTGGTGGTTTTTGGCTTGATGACTGTTGAGGCGTTGTAGGAATCGGGGAGCATCTGAGGGACGGTGGTGTTGGGGATACCGGCACCTGTAGGGAGACAGAAGGGAGGAAGAAACAAGGGGGAAATGGTGAGTCGTGATGGTTTTTGGCTTGATGACTGTTGAGGCGTTGTAGGAATCGGGAAGCATTTGAGGGACGGTGGTGTTGGGGATACCGGCACCTGCAGGGAGACAGAAGGGAGACAGAAGGGAGACGGAAGGGAGACAGAAGGGAGACAGAAGGGAGACAGAAGGGAGAAGGGAGACAGAAGGGAGGAAAATATGGGAGAAATGGTGAGATGACGGTGGTTTTTGCCTTGATGACTGCTGATGCGTTGTAAGAATCGGGGAGGATTTGTGGGGGACGGTGGTGCTGGGAATACCAGCACCTGGAAGGGAAGGGGTAACAGGGAAAGAGGGGAAAGAAAGAGCGAGGGAAATGGTGAGACGAGGTGGTGTTGGAATTGGGGAGCATTTGTGGGACGGTGGTATTGGGAATACCGGCACCTGGAAAAGTGGAGGGGCGGGGGGGAAGGGGGAGGGAAGAGGGGAGAACGAGGGAAATGATGAGATGGTGTGACTACTGCTGATGAATTGTGGAATTCGAGTAGGATTTGTGGGGGATGGTGGTCTTGGGAATACTGGCACACGAAAGGAGGGGGAGAGAGGACAAAGGAAATGGTTAGATGGTGTGACTGCTGCTGTCGAGTTGTAGGATTCGGGAAGGATTTGTGGGAGGGTGGTGGTCTTGGGAATACCGGCACGTGCAAAAGAGTGGGAAGAGGGGGTGAAAGGAAGCGCCCCTTTGGACTTGCGAATACCGACACTTTCAACACATTCAATCAGACTGGCAAAAAGGTAAAGCAAGCAAGGTCTCACCATCATCTGGAGGCGGAGAAGGCTTGGGAGCAGCCACGGGCGGCGACGGCGACAGCGGCTGCAGCGGATTGAGCGGATTCACGGGGTCAGTCGGGTTCAGCGGGCCGTTCGGGTTGGGCGGCGGGTCAAACGGACTTGCGAACGGGTTGTCTTCTCCCGTCGCCGGCGGAATATTCGGCGGGATCTGCACCTTGGGTTTCGGTGCGGGCGGCAGAGTCGGCACCTTCGGTTTTGGCGGGAGAGTCGGCACTTTCGGTTTTGGCTTTATTATCAGACCCGCTTTAGGGTCCTTACGACTAGGCTCCAATGGGAAATCCGCGACTCTGCCTTTAAACGGGTTTAGCGTGAACGTATCGGTGGTTGTTCGTTGGGGTACAGGGATGAGATCGAACGGTAACGGGTTGACATTATCGGGTATGAGGGGACCGACCGGGGGAGCTGGTGATGGATCGACGGGTTTCGGATTGGTGATTTTCGGCGGGAATGATATAACCGGGGGATTTTTCACCGTGAACGGGGGGACGATTGTAACGGGAGGGAGTTGGGTGGTTGGATCGCCCGCAATTGGCGGCGTCGAGTCGCCCTTTTTCTTCCCTTTCTTTCCTCTCTTTCCCTTCTTCCCCTTCTTCCCCTTCTTTCCGTCCCCTCCTCTACTGCTTGATCCCTTCTTTCCCTTCTTCTTTCCCTTCTTTCTCCTGCTCGATCCCGAACCCCTCTCTCTCCGGCCTTCACCCTCCGTGCTCCCGTCATCGGGCACGTAGTCGTCTTCGTTATAGTCTTCCTCGCTACCGCCGCCCTCGCTGTAGTCGTCCTCGTTGGAATATTCATCGTTACCGCCATCAGAGGAGGAGGAAGATTTCTTCTTCTTTCCTTTCTTGCCGGACCCGTGTCCTGACCCTGACGAGCCGTCCGATCCAGAATCAGAATCAGAATCGGACGAACCAGAATTTGACGACTTTTTCTTCTTTCCTTTCTTCTTGGAACTTTTCCTCCCGCCTTCTCCGTCTCCTCCTCCCTCCCCGCTGCCTTTTCCGTCACCGTTTCCGTCGCCGTTCCCGTCGCCTCCGTCTCCGTTTCCGTCACCACTGCCACCGTCGCCGCCGCCATTTCCGTCACCGTTTCCGTCGCCGTTTCCGTCGCCTCCGCTCCCTCCGTCTCCATTCCCGTCGCCCGACGATGATCCGTCGCCGTCTCCCGCGCATAGCGCTTCTTTGAACCCTTTTTCTTCGACGAGCCGCTCCCACTGCCGCCTTCCCCGTCTCCCCCAGAGCTCGAACCATCCTTGGAGCTTTTCTTCGATCCTTTTTTCTTAGAACTTTTTTTCTTGGAACCCTTTTTTTTCTTCTTTCCGGAGGAGGAAGACGACGAGCCGCCGTCTCCGTCTCCGTCGCTCCCTCCTCCGTCTCCTCCGCCGTCTCCTTCTCCATCTCCGACACTCTCTTGAACCCTTTTTCCGTCACTTCCTCCGTCGCCTGACGAACCTCCGTCACCTCCGTCGCCGCTGCCAGAGGAAGAGTCCTCGTTAGAAGAGGATCCGCTATCGGACGAGCTTGAGCCGCTGTCGCCACCGTCGGACGAAGAGCTCTTCTTACTCTTCTTTTTTTTCTTGGATCCAGATCCTGAGGATGAAGAAGACGAGGAGTCGCCGTCATTCCCGCTGCTCGACGAAGACGACTTCTTCTTACTCTTACTCTTTTTCTTCTTAGAAGACGACGACGAAGAGGAGGAGGAGCCTTCGCCGTCGGATCCTGAACCCGACGACCCGGACGAATCACCACCGTCGGATCCTGAATCGGACGACGAGGAACCGCCGCCGCTGTCAGAGGACGAACCCGATGACCCTGACGAATCTCCTGAAGAAGAATCGCCGTTGCTATCAGACGACGATTTGCCGCCCTTGGAACTCTTCTTAGATTTCTTCTTTTTGGAAGAAGATGACGATGACGATGACGACGAATCTGACGATGACGAAGAATCCGAGGATGAATCCGAAGAAGAATCTGAAGAGGAAGAGGAGGAAGAGGAAGAGCTCTTTTTTTTCTTCTTTTTCCCGCTGGAACTCGACGACGAATCAGACGACGAGGAGCCTGACGATTTATCAGAGGAACCACTGGAACTTCCGTTTCCGTCGCCTCCGCTACCCTCGTCGCCCGAAGAAGACGAAGATTTTGACGAGGACGATGATTCTGAAGATGAGTCGGAGCTTCCAGAGTCTGACGACGAAGATGACGAATCACCTCCGTCGCCGCCACTGCCACCTCCGTCGCCATTGGAGCTTCCGGAGTCAGACGACGAACTGTCGCCAGAGTCGGATGAGGATGCTAGTCGTCGCGCGACAACTTCAAGGTCCTCCTCGAGTTTCTGGGGATGGACACGTTTTGGGAAAGGCAAAAGAACAAAGTATATCAAATAAAAAGCAGGGGGGTACACTAATCAGAATGGCTTCCAAACAAAGGAAAGGTCAATTGAGTTCGTTTCATGCTTGGAAGAAACTTCTATTCTGTTTGTATACTTGACTCACAACTCACAGATCGAAGCTATTGTTACAAGTTGCCACATGCCACTCACCGTTCTTTCAGATGATGTCTGTCTATTCAACAATTGCCACGTGTCCAGATGCTCGGCGGTTCCGGGTCCTTCTCCATGTCTTCTTGCAACGTCTGAAAGGAACGCGACAGCAGGAAAATGAAAAACGGTCGTTAGGACCAAATTATCCGTAAAGAGGGTAGCACCCACTAACATGCATCTTTATGCCGGGGTCAATTTATTCAACAATAACTTGCTCGTGTGTGACTTCCTTTGAATAGCCTGTTGAATCGCTTGCAATGCGCCACTAGAGCCCACCATAAACTCCAGCTCAGGTACTTAAAGTGCGTATGCCCCGCTTATGGCTCATGGAAAACAAACAAAAAATATCCTCTACTGCTCTAAACGGTGGAGAAAGACCCATCACTATTCTGCCTTTTACGGGAAGAATAAGAGAGAGGATATTTATACCTTGACTTTGTGCGGGAGTTGCGGCTTGCAGGATGATAAGAACCGTGACGAGTAAGAACAGAGCGGAGGACACAGACAAGCCCCTCCCGTCTGCTTTCCCCATGCTTGCCAGCTCAGCTATAGTTTGGGAACGATATGTTCGATTAATCTACTCCATGCGTCGGCCCCTTTGAGAAAAGGCCACAGAGTGCGCCTCAAACAACGGACACGGACCGCGCTAACACGCCTACGGTGTACTCGCGTATTCCTGTTTGAGCAGCCTACGCACTGATGCAACGATACGACCAGTTTTGAGGCGCCTCAAAAGTCGCACTGATGCAACGATACGACCAGCTGCCACTCGATCAACACGGATAAGGCGAGCCTTGCCGCGTCGTTAGCTAAGGAGGGCAGCAGCTCGAACGGAAGCGGCTTCGAGGCAAGACCTTAGAAAAAAGGTGGCAGGATCTTTTCATCAACTACAATGCGCGACTGCAATGCACTACTGCAATGCGCTTGGACGGAGCAGAGATAGCAGACGGGATCGGTTTGGCGCTACTCTGGGTGACTAACTCCAACTCCTATTCGTCTGACTGAGACATGGAGGCTCAGTCCGGTTGAGGGGGACTCGAAAATCTGGTCAGTCGCCAAGGGCTGGGCGTGGTTGAGAAAAGCGACTGAAATCCGTGCACGTGAAAAACGCGTTCCGATAAACGTGCGCTGGCGATGCGGGATGGCGGCCTACTAGCACGCCAAGGGTGCAGGCTGGAACCGCGACGAATGACGTGGTGGTGATGAGGGAGGGATTGGTGGCTGGACTGCTTGGTTCTGCGAGCACTACGTTGTGTGGGTGGAGTGGGGTGGGGAGAGACACACCCCAGCCAAGACCAAGGTAGCATGTGTTGTGTTGAAGACACAACAACACGAAGGAGGGGGGAAGAATTGCTAGAGCACAACCAAGGGCTGGGACGTGCGCGAGCCAAAGAAATCACTGGACGTGTGGCACAACAGAAATGGCTGGTCGTTGGTTTGGAAGGAAACTGGTGTGAGATCGAGCCGCGAATCTGTAATTTCAACATTGCGCTTCGGGAAGGTGAATGGTTGGTTCTTGAGCGGTGCAGCGTACCACGTCAGACGCTGGCTGCGCCTCCTTGCTTCCACGTTGCGGGACTCACGGTGAGCTTTCAGTTTCGGTCAGCGCAGGTCTCGTAGGAGGGCAACGTGGAGAACACTCTGTCAAAGCTACACCAAACATACTGAGAGGAACACAGAACAGAGGCAACGAGGAATGTGATTCTTGTAAACTTGCTGAAAAAAAAAGCACAATTGTACCCCATAGAAGCACACAGAGTGCGCAAGGGCTCGTACAGTAACGAATGCGCCTATATCTGGTATTCGATAATGAATGCATCCTCGTTACATGCATCCTCATTACACTTCCATTGTCAGAATGAAGAATGGATGATGCATTGATGTTGGTTGGGGTACATATAGCTAACCCTAAGTTTTGTACCCCCTAAGACAAACCTCACTATAGGCTACAACATTTGACACACCCCCATAGCCTAAGTGAGGGGTGTCTAGCAGAACCAAACGAGTACGGTCACAAGACCAGTCCAAGAAACGAAGCTCAGGGTGGATCACAACGTCACCACACAGTCTGAGCACAAACAACAGTGGCCACAAGGCCAGTCCAAGAAGTAACAGAGGTATATAGAAAGCAAAGTAAACAGTACACTCAAGTCTAAGCAACACGAGAACCAGTGTCAACAAGGCCTAACTGCACACAGCACCTCTGGTGGTCACAAGGCGGAAGCGCCTTGGTGAAGATGTCTGCAGTGTTGGCCTCTGACTCCACAAACTCAAAGCGAGCCTGTCCACGCCTCTGCAACTCTCGCAGAAGAAAGTACCTGACGTGAATGTGCTTCACTCTGCTCTCCAGTCGTGGCTCTCGACAAAGGAGAATAGACGCCTTGTTGTCAGTGAACAAGGTCGGTGCAGAGCTCGGCCGCTCACCAAGGTCGGTGAGCAAGAAGGTCAACCAACGCAGCTCCTGTGCCGCCATGGCACCAGCGTAGATCTCAGCCTCAGCTGTAGAGGTCGAGACCGAAGAGGAGCGCGTGGACCGCCAGGAAACAGCTCCAGAACCCAGGCTGAAACAGTACCCCTGAGTAGACCTGTGAGTCTCAGCGTCGTCAGCGTAAGAGGAGTCACAGTGACCAGTAAGTACGACAGACTGCTGCCCTCCAAGAACTAGCCCCACGCCTGACGTCGTCGCTAGGTACTTCGCCACCCTCACAGCTGCTGTCCAGTGAACAGGACGGTGTCTCCCTGGCGCAACAAAGCGCGCAAGAACGCTGAGAGGGAAGGCGAGGTCCGGGCGAGTACAAGTCATCAGGTACATGAGGCAACCCACAAGCTCTGCGTAGGGACCACTAGGCTCGAACGGCTCGTCAGGAAAGGGTCCAGTGAGTCTGTGGTCAACAGCAAGAGGTGTGCGCTGTACTGTGGAGTGCTGAAGCCCGAACCGCTGAAGGACCTGCTGCACCATGTGCGACTGTGAAAGTGTAATGGTGCGAGCAGCTCTGTCCCTGGTGATCTGCAGGCCAAGGTAGTGGCGCAGCTCACCAAGATCAGTGCAGGTGTGTCTCTTCTGCAGTTCGGACTTCACGTGTGCTAAAGCAACCCTGTCAGGGGTGGCGAAAACAAGGTCGTCAACGTAGACCAGAACAAAGAAAGGTGTGGGGCCACGACGAACGAACAGCGACGGGTCAGCAGAAGACGGCTGGAACCCAAGGTCAGACAGGGTAGAACGCAGGGTGTCGTGCCACTCACGAGGAGCCTGACGAAGACCGTAAACCGGTCGCCTCAGCCTCCACTGGGTCCCAGGAGGGAAAGAGCCAGTGAAGGCAGAGGGACGACGCAACCAGACCTCCTCGTGAAGACTGCCCTGAAGGAAAGCAGTAGAGAAGTCGAGAGAGTGTAACTCGTAGTCTCTCTGTGCTGCTACGTGTAGTAACACCCGAAGAGTGGTCATCTTCGGGGTGGGCGCGAAGGTCTGAAAGAAGTCAACTCCCTCGCGCTGACTGAAACCTCTAGCCACGTAGCGCGCCTTGAAGACCGGAGGAGATCCCGGTGGCCGCTTCACCCTGTAGATCCACATGCCGTCGACTACGTTCGCCCCCGGAGGGGGAACCTCATCGACGTAGGTGCCTGTGGATCTGTAGGAGGCCATCTCTGCGTCCATGGCAGCTCTCCACTGAGAGGCCCAAGGCCCTGACACTGCCTCAGCGTAAGTGCGAGGAGTCGGAATGTCAAGGGCGTCGGGGTCACCCTCAGGGGCGAGGAGCATGGCACAGAGATGAGGGGAAGCGGCCGCCAGGAACTCTAGCTCAAACTGCCTGTCCTCTAGGGCGTCACTGCCAAGGGCAGACACACCCCCGACGGCCAGAGGACTGGAAGGAGGAGCAGCCACAAGAGCGGTGGCGAAGTCAAGGCGGCGGGTAGAGGCAAACTCAGTGACTGCGGTAGTAAGAGCGGACACAGAGGACACAGAGGCACGAGGGTGGGTAACAAGAGAGGCGAGAACACGAGAGAGAACAGGACGGTACGTGCGGTAGTAGTCAGTGACAGGAGAAGGAAGCGACACAGTGAGGGCCGACTCAGGAGGAGACGGAAGCACAGACGGAGACGGACGAGGTGGACGAGAACAAAGGAAGGCTGTACGAAGGTCAGTGAAGGGAACAGGAGACGAGGGACGAGCACGAGGGGAGCGACGAGAGGCCCAAGTCTGAGAAGGAGGAGGAGACAACGAAGACTGAGAACGAGGGAAAACAGCGGGAGAGGGGTCAGGAGGAGGAAGCGGAGGACCAGAGACGGGAGGAGAGGGGGAGGAGGAAGGAGAGGGAGAGGGGAGACCAAGGGTCCGAAGACCCGAGACAGGAGGAGGAGACGGCAGCTGCTGCTGCTGGGGCTGCTGCGGCTGCTGCGGCTGCTGCTGCTCCAGCGGCTGCTGCCCCTGCTGCTGCTCCTGCTGCTGCTCCTGCTGCTGCTCCTGCTGCTGTCGCTCCTGCTCCTCGAGCCGCTGCAACTCTCTCTCCTCTCTCTCCAACTCCAGCTGCTCCTCACGAGCACGGCGAACACGAGCCTGGAACCTGGTCGGGTAGGGGTGGGGGGAAGGAGTAGTGTCCGGGGCAGCGGCAGCCCCAGAGTCGACCTCCGAAGCACCAAGCACACCACCCCCAGAGGCAGCACCAACACCAGCTCCAGACCCAGGCTCTCCAGAAACCGAAGGGACACCCTCACCCCCAGACGCAGCACCCCCAGACTCCGCACCAGCACCCCCAGACTCCGCACGACCAGTACCAGCCCCCGGAAGACAAGAGTCCTCTGCAACCCGCGGCTCAGCTCCAACTCCAGCACCCCCAGAACCAGAGACCTGTACAGGGACAGTCGCAGGACCAACCTCCCGAGAGGGAGCACCTGCAGGAGGCGGCGAGGAAGACTGTGGGGAGGGAGGCTGTACAGGGGGGGCTACCGAAGGGGGAGGGCTAGCCTGAGACACACCAGACGGGGCTGGATTAGGGGGGGGAGGCTGTACCGGGGGAGCAGGCGGGGGAGCGGCGGTCAGGAAGAGAGGGGGGGGAGGGACCGGGAGACCTCGACTGGGGTACCTGACGTAGTAGGGGGTGGACTCCTCGAAACGGACGTCACGGGAGTCAAAGAACCGGTGAGAGGGAGGGTGGTAAAAGGTGAAGTCAGAGGAGTCCT